AGTTATGTCCCTTCTTTAAAGATTACCGCTCATGATGTTTGCCTCACCTTGTCCCAATCACAGGACTGGATAAAAATCATACACATGGCTCCTATGTTTGCAAATTCAAGCACACTTTATAGAGCTTCACCTTATGATTTCCCACGAAATTAAAGCAGAGCTTGAATAGCTCATTTTTCCACTCGTTCACGCATCAGCTGTATACGATGACTGGGAAAACTGGATACCTAACAAACCAGACAAATTAAAATCCGCACTTTCCATGGTTTTGTATACTATCAAACTCAGCAATAACAAATTATTGATTCCATGAAAGACCTACTTTCTCCGAATGTTTTCGGCTTAAATGGTGTTGTAACATTAACACTGCACTTTCATGATGATCCTTTATGATTTTGTCGTTATTCACATTTCCATTAAATCATCAAACTATAACTCCATGGCACCGGTGTCTCCCGCCACCACTGTATCTCCCTTTAAGGCTCCCGCTGTAGCTCCCTCAGTGAAACTCGCTGTGGCTGACACGGTGACTCCCGCTGTAGCTCCCGCCATAGCACTCAATGTCGGGATCTTCGTTAACTGTAGCTTCCTTCTAATAGCCCCTTGCTGGCGTTCGAGGTTCCCTTGCTGGCGTTCCAAATTCCCTTGTTTGAATGGTGTCGTAACATTAACACTGCACTTTCATGATGATCCTTTATGATTTTGTCGTTATTCACATTTCCATTAAATCATCAAACTATAACTCCATGGCACCGGTGTCTCCCGCCACCACTGTATCTCCATTCAAGGCTCCCGCTGTAGCTCCCGCTGTAGCTCCCGCTGTAGCTCCCTCAGTGAAACTCGCTGTGGCTGACACGGTGACTCCCGCTGTAGCTCCCGCCATAGCACTCAATGTCGGAATCTTCGTTAACGGTAGCTTCCTTCTAATAGCCCCTTGCTGGCGTTCGAGGTTCCCTTGCTGGCGTTCGAAATTTCCTTGCATCTCCCGGACAAAGGCTTCTTGCTGATTTGGAGGCATATACACTTTGTCGATAAAAAGTTTTGCGGGATCAGCCCGCGAGAAAAAGGCTAACTTCCCGACTCGTCTCGCGGCTTTCAAAGCAGCAATTTGAGGTTGCCGCGCCTCTCGTACTCTCTTTGGCATATCTTCGGATATATACATGGTTGTTCCATATGGCTCCGTTTAGTCTCATTTCACAACGCCCCCTATCGTCAGAGCATGATCAAAGTCAGCAGCCTAACATGTTAGCCTATGGACGTTTTTTTTAAAAATCGTTAAAAATTCATTTTTTGTTTAAACGAAAAGCACATCCACCCCGACGTACCTTATCACTAGCTCTTTCATTGGAGCCCCCATGTCTCATTGACTTTTGAAAGTTCACCCACCGTAATTTTTCAAAATAGGTTGCAAGCTCGTCATTGCCTATAATACACATGTGAAACAAGTCTAACTTTGGACTCAGTTTACCAAGCGATTTGAAGATTATAGGTCGAGCACACGAAACAAAAAAAGCATGAATTATCATAGATCACTTCTGCCTATTTCATTATGTCCATTTCATCCAACCCCCACCGTAATTTTTCCATTTAGTAAAAGCAAACATTTTGCCGAGTTTAGCAAAAACATGAATATTCATGAACGGTCAGACAATACAGCCTTTTAGTACGTAACGTATAGTGAATGGGAATGGGCGATGATCCATTCAGGAGGTAGAGGTCAGTGGTTTGTGCTGGCAATGTTCACGCGAGCGAAAATGAGACAATCGGAGCAATATGTGGAGGGACCCCGAGTGAGATTCGATTTTTGTTTTATTATTATTATTATTATTATTTATTTTAATTAATACAATTCGAGGGAACTTTTTAGGGGTACTGTCCTTTTGGCGCCTGATATCTGGCTAGTGCCGGTCTTTTGGCCCTAGAAGTTTCGTTTCCGTGCTCGGGAGGACGCCCCCTAAAGCCAAAGGCAGTTTGTGGTCTGATCTAGACAGCCCCATTCCTTAGGGAACCTCCGTTCTGGAGGGACCCCGATTGAGATTCGATTTCTGTTTTATTTTTGTTTTTTTAATTTATACAATTCAAGTGAACTTTCTAGGGGTACTGCCCCTTCAGTAGTCCAGAATCTGCACGGTCCTTTATAATTTCCCGACACTTGATTCAAGCCGTCGAAGATGGCGTTATCAACAAACTCATAATTATGCTCACCAGCCCAGCCTAGTTTTTAAACCCCCCCCCCCCCTTTTGAAAAAAAATTATGCCAATGGCTGACCTAAAACAGGTGACCTTACCCAACCCCCCCCCCCCCCAACGGAACAAAATGTCAAATTTTCAAATTGCGAGACCCCCCCCCCAAAAAAAAAAAAAATAATAATAATAATAATTAAAAAAATTAGTGTCCGCTTACCCCCCCCCCCCCCCCCCCCCCCTCCCCCACTGAGCGACTTTTCGGCCGGCGAAATTTTCGGGAGCAAATCTTTCAGGCCCCGCCGATTTAGGGTGTTGGCTACAAATTTAAAAAACACCTCTGAAATATTATGGTTTATGATAAATCTTTCGAATAAATAAGGTGTGCTTAGTTTGTGTGGTAATGCTAGGGCAGGAAAACCCCTGTTTTTTGGTTGTGGCCCTCCGCTTGGACGGGTTTTTCTGAATTAGACTTCGATCCTCGCTTAAAGGGCGAGTCCTATCCAAAAATAACTTACTTTCAATAGAAGCAGAAAAATCATACACAGCAATCAAAAAGTTTGAGCAAAATCGATAACTAATAAGAAAGTTATACATTTTTGATGAAATGAAGAACTTTGAATATCACAAGACAAATTGGCAACTCTCTCGTGAGTCTTTGAGGTCATTGCCTCACTATCCACTTGTTTTCTTTATATTGATAATGTAAATTTCCTATTCCTCCCTAAGAATTTTATTTCTTTACACCAGCATCCAAGTTAGCTTGAAAGTATTAAAGATAAACTTGAGTTCTGGTAAAAAAAAAAAATTAAAAAAATAATTCTCACAGAATCTAACGAAACTTACACTGAATGTTCAAGATTACAAATAAATATCATGTGCCAAACAATTTTGGAAGAAAATGTGTACTGGCTGAGAAATAAGCATAGAAAGATAAGGAAATCAAGGTAGTACTAGCCCCGACACCTATTGTGTTGTCCTATATACATCTTTCTGTGTACTTTACCAAGACTGGGCCAAATTTATGATGATTTTGATGACTCCAGAACCTTGCAGTATACACACCAATACTTACATGCTATATGATCAACTTTTTCTGATCCATTCCACACATTTTCCTTCACAATGCAATCGAATACCAGAACTCACCTTATCTTTAATATAGAGTAATTTTGTTCAGTTAAATCATGAAAAATGTGAACTTTGACAAACTATTTATATACAAAATCAATAATTATGAATATACAATATTCAGAAAAAAGTATCAATTCTTCAAAGTTCATGAAAGATTTTGTGAAATGTCATACACGCAATTTGATACAAATCATATAACTTGGGCAAAAGCATGTGGAAATCAAGTTTTGGAGGATAAAAAGGAAACTTAATGGGATTAAAATATATAAAGCAATTGAAAAATAGTGAGGACATGACGTCACAAACTGATAACCAAATTAGCAATTTGTGTAGTGACTTCCATTGTTCAATGGTTTTACATACTTTTTCAAAAATTCATAACTTTCTTATTAAATATCCGATTTTGTTCAAACCTTTTTTGATTGGTTTGTCTGATTATTCTGCTTCTATTGTAAGTCATTTTTGGAGTGGGCTTATTATAGTCATGTCACTGTTTACAGCCAAAAGTGTTATAACTCATGAATTGAGTTAACACTCCTCTGGCTCTGACGATATATAACTTGGTTTATTTCGGAGTTATTATTTTTAGAAAAGATACTTGTAACCCTTACAAGTCAAACGCCAATTGATCAAATGAATCGACCGTTCACACGTGCTCTCTTTCATATTCTTAGCACTTCCTTTATATTGTCTATTGTACTTAAAACCCAAAATCGATCTAAGACCATGTTAAGTGAAAATCGAAACCTTAAGTGAATACGAAAAATTTGTTAAGCAAAATTAGACTACTGCACAGACCTAAATAGGCAATAAGTTTTATCTCTTAACCCGAGGTGTCGGGTATGACATAAGTTTGGTACATTTAACGATATTTTGTATTTATTATTTGTTTTATCTTTTTATCAGACATGAGCAACATTTGTTTTCCTTCAGGCAATACAAACACTATATCCGCATTAGCTTTGGCATATCAACACATTGGTTTATACAACGTTGCGTGCTTATAATCTATACAAAAAAATAATGAAACTCTAACATGTTGTTTTAGCAGGACTTTGCTTGTTAGTTTTTTATGACAGTTTCATTTGCTTAATAGTAACCTCATGTTATATCATTTCAAAAATTAGTGTAGGTCTATATCAAATTTTGATCAAAATTTGTATTCGTGTTGAGTATACGCAATAAAGAAAGTATATGAAGAAGACACAAGTAAGAAAAGATGTGAATTAGGATGAAGAAACAAATATCAGAATATGGGGGAGAAGGAGGAAGATTATGCGTTGCAGCTGTCTACTATCTTGAAGACAGCTCTAATGGACCAACTCAAGAAAGTCTCATCGAGTTTGAAAGGAACTGGTGACATTTTTGTCAATAGGTCTTTGGAAATCGATAATTTGTTTGAATGGTCTGAATATCACATTGTTAGTGCAATGAAAATGAGTTTGAAATACCTTATGAATTGTACCAGATGAGAAGTGAAAGGTTATCATCCATCATTGGCAATCAATGTGATAGACGGCTGAGAAACGAAGACTAGCGCACACCACTCAAACGGTGAATGGGTCTCCTTATTGTATTCTGTCAAAAGAATTCTTCACTTGGAAACAGTGCCTTCAAATACTCTTATAAGATAAACTAACTACAAATGAAATAACATCTCTGATGTGAAGAAGGATCTCTTTCGGATTTCATCTGTGCATTTACACCATGGGAAAGATAAATTTCGTCAACAAAAATCTGTCATTGATTAAATTCACCAAGCCATCACCTCTGCTCGTTAAATTATGTGTGTATGAGTCATCTGATCAAGACAAGTTGATTCTGGATTAAAAGATACAAACAGGTAAGTGGCTTTATATACTTATAACAATTTTATTTGGCTTGATAATAACAAATAACTGTAGGTAAGGTATCAAAGTTTGACATCGACTTCATAATAGAGACTTTTGAAAATAGCCTATGGTAACTAAGAAATTCGATTTCACCGTTATATTCCGATATCATTACAAACATAAAACACAGAATATGTGAGGATTGGTGAAATATTCATGTTTTTTAGGCTTTTCTCTCCATCCTATTGATCCCATCCTTTAACACTGTCTTGTTTCCCAATTTGATAAAAACCATGAACTAACTCTTTCTTAAAGCATATTCTGCCCCTCTGCAAATTTTAGATTTCTGTTCATTATTGCTTTTTACTCTGATATAGTCTGGACTCTGAGTCCAAAACGAAAAGCTTATATATAATATGTCTTTCTTCAAGACTACGCACAAGAAGGTTCCCCTCTCTCTCTCTCTCTCTCTCCATCTATTCTCTCTCTTCTCTCTCTCTCTCTCTCTCTCTTCTCTCTCTCTCTCTGAATAATCTTTTTTTTTCTTCCCTTTGTCTTTCTTTCGCTTTATTTGTCGCCCGTGTAATGTAATTTACTCTGCCATTAATGTTTCTTTCGTTTTATTATCAATTCGATTACGTCCTCGAGTGTAATCAATTTACCACAGATAAACATGATAAAAGAGGTGATCTACCTCTGTTTGCCGTTATGATCAAATCTGTCTTGTAGTGTAATTGTTTCAGGTTAGTACAACATAAAGGGATATCTCTTTGTAGAGATGGGTTGATCTAGTACTGGTTATTAGGTATAGTCGAAAAGGAAAGGAGTGGAAAAGGAATAATAGCCATTATTTCACGAGCAATCATAATGGTATGTATATTTCAACAAATTTATATTATTTGATGGTTCGTTGGCTTTATGTTTTATGTTGTTGTTGTTGTTTGGCATTATCGGCGTTTCATTCTCTTTTTAGAATATGTTTATTAGATGATGTGTATGCTTGTGAGTAAGCAGTCAGGAAACCGATGACTTTAAACCATTCCGTATTGTGTTTTCATGTTTTACTCGCAATTTATCGATCTCAGGCTCAACAACGGACTACAAACACACCTGGTTAAATTCCTTCATCTAACAAAGAAAGATAAAATAAAGGATACAAATCTTTATTCGTCTGAACCAATCATGTATCCAAATTCAAGACAAAATGCGATGACAAAAAGGAATAGAATCTCGGGTTAGATTGAATCATCATTATTATTATCATTATGAGTTGTTGAGTTGTTAAATAGATAGATGATCTAGACTGGGATATGAGAGGCCCCGGGTTCGTTCCTTACACGGTGCTTGCACCCATAGGCAAGCTGTTTTGCCCACATTATTTGTTTATCCCGACTCGGGTGTATTAAATGGGTACATGGCAATCGTGGCAATGCTAGAGATGAGACCTGTAGAAAGAGCAGTATGCAAACTAATGTGGCTGCGATGGGGAATATAACATCAGATTGATTACATGCATAAATAATATGTCGGCTTTTTACAGAGTGCAAGAAAGATGGGAGATCGACGGGCCAATCGGCGCATGTCAATGGCGAGTTTGGGTAAAGTGGTAAGCTCTAGTATTATATTGATTTGATGTAATGTGTAATGCTCATTCCAAACGAGTCGCCAATGTGGTAATCAAACATTATGACGGAAATAAATGTATACGCTTTCAACAGTTCATTTTGCATTCACTTTTTGTACAATGTTACCCTCTCAGGAGACGTAAAAGGGCGCGTCCTAGATACCGGGCTTAAATCCCATCTAATCACTTTTAATTGCTTTATTCTTTGATGATATGTTTTGTCTGAAGTTTTAATATTTCTCCATTCCATTAAATCTTATTCAATGCGGGTATTCCCGAATAGAATATGACTTACAATTCACTTAAATTCACAATACATGTAACTATGCAGAGCTATTTTGTTACACTTTGGATATTTGCAATTCCCATATATTGGCAACCCTAATTTTGTTCAACAATTAGCTTTTGTTTGAATAGCACTTTTGATGATAGATAAATTGGTCATAACGACGTTAACGGACATCATTAGAGAGCAAAGGGCAACTGATCGGAACTTGAGTAGAATTATACGTCCCACATTGACATAATATGGACATATTTGTTGTCAAGCAGTAGAATACAGGGGCGGCCGAGCGACTTCCAAAGTGGGGGGTCACCAAGAAAAAAGGGCACTTTCTGGGGAAAAAGGGTACCTACAAAGGGAAATCTCAAGACGAAAATATACAATTTTGTTAATAGACATTGGTATATACCCCTACATTGTGATTACAATAATATCAGGGATGATTTCAATATTTGTTTCACTTTATAAACCATACAAGATATTGCTTAAGCATCATGCCTTGCAGCTTGGTTTGATTGTGTACTAAATTACGAGTTTTAAGATGTGTGAGGTCGCAGTGCGAAAAATTATATCTTATAAAGAGGAAAAAACCCAATCCTAATGGGGTTATAAGCACATTCTCATAACGGAACACTGAAAAGGCCTTTGATAAGTAACGTAAGTATATCATCTACAGTTGCGTGCGAGCGTAGCGGGGGGGGGGGGGGGCAAGGCCCGCTCGGCCCCCTGGATCCGCGCCTAAATGCACTGTCTTGCTGTTTTTATTTATATATATATATCATGGATATATAGTGAGCGAACTTTGGGGGAAATTGCTCTTAGTCGCTTGAAATTAGCTAGAGCGCGTTTAATGATGAGAGCCGGAAAATGGGGCACTTCTTACACCCTCAAAAAGAGACACTCACCAAGGATGAAAACAGTCAGTCTTGAGAATATGAAATGGGCATTTGTCGACGGAAAAGAGGCCCCCGGGAGATTTTCATAGGGGCATTTATAAGATATTATTATATATTGTTAAAAGGGAAATTATCAGAGGTAAAAAGAGGCACTTATTGCACCTGAAAAGGGGCAATGACCAGATATGAAAAGGGGCACTTATGTGAATGAAAAAGGGGCACTTGTAATAAAGGAAAATGTGCATTAGTTAAAAGAAAATGGGCACCGATCAGATTTGAAAGGGGCATTTATCGGAGGTGAAGGGGGCACTTATCTGAAGTGAAAAGGAGCAACTTCTCGTACCTGAAAAGGGTCATTTACCAAAGAAGGGGCACTTATGAGAAGGGGAAGGCGCTCTTTTTTAATGGGGCACTTATCATTAGGAAAAGGGGCACGTACCTCTCAGATTTAAACAGGACAATTATCAGAGGTGAAGGGGGAACTTATCAAAAGTGAAAAGAGGCACTTCTCGTACCTAACCAGGGGCACTTACTAGAGATTAAAAAGGGCACTTATGAGAATGGAAAATGGACACTTATTATTACAAAGGAAAATGGGAACCTGTCGAAGGAAAAGGGGCACGTGTCCAAATAAAAGGGGCACTTATCAGAGTTGACAAGGGGAAGAAGCACTTTTACAAATTAATAGGGACACTTGTCAAAGTAAAAGGGGCACTATTCCCATGTAAAAAGGGGCACTTCATAAACAGTTAAAGGGGCACTTTCCTATGTTAAAGGGGGTACTTTTCGGGTGCCTGAAAAACTGGAGGGCACTGTGCCCCCCCCCCCCCCCTCTGACACCCGTGAGGGCCGCCTCTGGTAGAATATGCTTAAATTTAAATAATGAATTAATCAGCTAAGGTTGCGGTACGTACATGTAATTCATTGTAGTTAAAAGAATGAAAGTGAGAGGAAAAGGTGATAGAGAGAGACAAACAGACATACAGGCGGATGAAGATAAATAGACCGGGGGAAAAAAGAAACTAAATCATTAGAATTGGGGAGACTTAGAAGATTGGGAAAAAGGTAAGAGTGTACCTTGATTAATTATTGATGCTATTTAACGGTTTTGTTTATACATTCTTTCTCTGTTAAGGATACTAACGTAAAGCGTCAAAATCGGCGTGGATCTGTAGCCTCAACATCATCAGACGAACTAAATAAATTGGTATGTGATTGAATTTAAATATAAATCTTTTCTCTTAATTTATTATGTTTTTATTTATGATGAAGGACAACAGGCATTAACTCCTGCTAAACCAAAGAGCGAAAAATTACCATTTCTCATAAGGGAAGTATTTTGGTCTTCTTTATAGACAATAAGAGACATTGAAACTTTAACAATAATATATCTAGTTGGAATCATTGCTCCTAGATATGACCTTTTGAGTTGCTGTTTAATTCCTTCCGCATGGTTTAAGATGTGTATACACTTTTTGTGCATTCCAAAATTTGGGGCTGTTTGGGCTCTCAGGTGCTCTAAGAAGCAAAAAATTGTGTAAAAAAGTAGTTATCTAGCTCGGTCCAGTTATGCTCCCCAGTATTGCAATAAACACACGTTAGGGTACGTTGTTGAAGATCTGCCAATCGTAGGTGTGATGAAAGGAAATCGGTTCTGGGACAATTACCCCCCCCCCCCCCCTGGGCAATCATCCCCGGTTAATTACCATCAGGACAATTACCCCCCCCCCCCCCCCCCCCGCCAAATCAACTTATTATTAAGCTGGACTTCCTCTTTAATGAACAGGGGGCGGTAATTCCGGGGGTGGTTTCATGGGGATAATTGTCCTAGGGGTTAAGATCAGGAGCCGGGGGCAATTGTATATGGGGGTTGTCGTCGGGGGTGGTTGTGCATGGTTGTCCTATGGGGGGGGGTAATTTTTCCTAGGTTTTTCTTTCAGGGGTGGGGGTAATTGTCCTCGAGGGCTAGTTGTCCACTGGGAGTAATTGTCCACTGGGGTAATTGTCCGTGGGGGGGGGTAGTAATTTTCCGGGGGGGGGTTTATTGTCCACGGGGTTGGTTGTCCTGGGGGGGGGGGTATTTCCCTGGAGAATTTTGGAGAGATGTGTATTCACCCTCACAGTTACCCCATACCCTCTCCGTCTCGACCAGCTTCAACTAGATACAATTGCTTAATTTAATATCATATTTAACCACACTTATTATTTACATAAATTTTATTATAAGTGTTTAATTTTTTTTTTTCTTCTTCTTTTCGCAAGGTTTCCCTACAACGCAAGAGTACTAAGGTAAGTTATTGGTAAATGTGCAATAGCATGTTTAAACATCATTTAATACACTCAATAAACCTTTTCATATTGCTCCGATTGTCTCATTTTCGCTCGCGTGAACATTGCCAGCACAAACCACTGACCTCTACCTCCTGAACGGATCATCGCCCATTCCCATTCACTATACGTTACGTACTAAAAGGCTGTATTGTCTGACCGTTCATGAATATTCATGTTTTTGCTAAACTCGGCAAAATGTTTGCTTTTACTAAATGGAAAAATTACGGTGGGGTTGGATGAAATGGACATAATGAAATAGGCAGAAGTGATCTATGATAATTCATGCTTTTTTTTGTTTCGTGTGCTCGACCTATAATCTTCAAATCGCTTGGTAAACTGAGTCCAAAGTTAGACTTGTTTCACATGTGTATTATAGGCAATGACGAGCTTGCAACCTATTTTGAAAAATTACGGTGGGTGAACTTTCAAAAGTCGATGAGACATGGGGGCTCCAATGAAAGAGCTAGTGATAACGTACGTCGGGGTGGATGTGCTTTTCGTTTAAACAAAAAATGAATTTTTAACGATTTAAAAAAAAAAAAACGTCCATAGGCTAACATGTTAGGCTGCTGACTTTGATCATGCTCTGACGATAGGAGGCGTTGTGAAATGAGACTAAACGGAGCCATATGATTATCCGAGTTGCCATACTGTCGTTTAATATTAACACAAAATGTAACTCTGTAATTTATAAATGTATTAAACTAGGAAAATCACTTGAATCTCATTTTTGAAAAAAATACGCTCCAAAACTGTATTTCAATCTAAGGTTAAACAAACCTTTATAAATATCTAAAAGCTTTACATTTCTATTTTTCTATCTTAAAAAAATCCATCGTTAACAATATACATAAATAGAAAATAAAAAATATTTGTTGATATGTTATATGTTATTTACTTTTTAACGTTTTTAATGTGGAATTGATTTTCGTTTCGTTTTGTGCTTTGTTTGTATTCTGTATTTGTTGTAAGGGAATTGCTGTGTTTTATTACAAGCCACTGGCTTTTAAATGCTATTTCTAGGCATAATTTTATTATCTATAACATCTTGATAATTTACGAAATTAATAAATTGAAGAAAAAAAATGTAGTCGAACCTTTTAAGCAAGTTAGTAAAAAATGAATTCTCAAAATCAGAGAAACTCGACGATGACAGTTTAAACGAAATCGCCTGAACAATACAGATAGCTAAATGATTTAAAAAATACCCACTGCAAATAAACCAAAATATACATTTGGTCTAATGACTACTTAGGCTAATAGTAACTTGCATGGAAGCAAAAGTTTCAAGATTTGTGAGGTCGCAGTGCGAATTACAGCTTATAATTAAAGAAGAAAAAAAAAAAATCCTGATGGGATTTTTAGCACGATCTAATTATGAAAGTTTGAAAATATATTTGATAATTAACATATTAGCGCAGGGGGTACTAAGGGGGCATTTAGAAGAATGTGAATGCGTTTTTCTTATCATCATGCGTGGGATCTGTGGGTGTATATAACCCATGGAAATTTGTGTAAACCTTCAAATAATAAGTTATCATCGAGCCCCCCCCCCCCTCTCATTATTCTGCCAGCTCGTAACAAACCAAACATTATAATCTGGATCAGGCGCGTACACGGGGGGGGGGGGGGTTAAATCCCCCCTTTGGTATTATTTTTGTGTGTTAACCCCCCCCCCCCCCCCCCCTCCGCTTATTCAGCGGGTGGCTGAGTCGTTGCGAAATTTTCGGCCCGATTTATAAATGTTAACCCCCCCCCCCCCCCCCCCCCCCCCCTCCTCTTGAAAAAATCCTGCGTACGCGCCTGATCTGGATGAAATACGCCATAGGATTTGTAGCTAGCTGAGAGAGAGAGCTAGAGCGAGCCGGGAAATGGTAGTGTCCCTTTATAGACACTTAAAAGGACACTAGGAAATGGTAGAGTACCTACATGTAGGTACTCTAGGAAATGGGGAGACCGAGCGCCAGCTATAGTCGAGCTAGCGTTAATTTTTCAAGAACTGGCGTCGGTTTGGTGCCTAGCAACATAATGTCGTCCAAAAAAGGAAAAGGAAAAACGTCTCAAATATTGATTCAGCCGACGGGTAAAGGGCCAGATGCTTACAAAGATGTAGACTGGAAAACAATGAGTGTAAGGAAAAGTAATTGTGAAGGATTTTCAATTGTGATGCTTACCCCAATCAAGTTCTTTTACGGTCCCATACCTAGCTTTTTATGTAAGTAGTCTGACTCTAACTTACGGGTGCCCGTCCCTTGCGGCGCTTGTTCAGAAAGGTATCCAAAAGGTATCCAAAATTTGACCTGTAACTCCGGCGGGGAGATACCCTACTAAAACATACCTAAAATGAAGTAAATATTCATTAAATGTCCCAAAAAAGATCATGAGTTATTTCTAGCCTAGTCTAACCTTTACGGCAAACTGCACCGCAGCACATACCGATGGTGGGTTGTCGGCGGGTGCGCGCCTGTGTGAAGTTATCTACCGTAATGTCTCATATCCTCATTGCGATAGATAACTTCACACAGACGTTCGCCCGCCCGCAACCCACCATCTGTAGGGTAGCGCGCCCGGTATTTGGTCCATTCCAAGTATTCGGTCAGACAGCCGTTTCAACAGCTGTAGATCTAGACTTCTAGTTCTAACAATTTAAAAAATAATTTATGAGCCACGAAACTTGCACAAATTAGGCAGCGGAACATCTTTTCTTAACTCCCAAAATTAAATCAGATGGACCTATAGGGTAGAGTGCCCAGTAGACTATTCCGTTACTTAACAGGAAATCACTAATATTTTGAATTCTTACCTCTTTTATTTTAAAATCTCAGAAAAATGCTACGTCTTCTTTCGGAAATACTTTGTTTATCATCATTCTTTATTTTAAAGGTACTAGGGTAGAGTGCCCCGTATTCGGTCACTTAAGGGGAAATCACCATTCTTACCTCTTTTATTTGGCAATCTACCCATCAAAAGAAAAGAAATTTATTCCATACAGGATTTTATAGTCACTTAAAATATATAATAATGATAAGCAAAGTACTTCCGAAAGAAGACGGGGCATTTTTCTGCCCAGAATTCGGTCACGCCGATTAGAATTCGGTCACGCGATTTGTGCGTGGTATCTCCGTTGCCAAGGAGGGAAGCGTATTTGCGCACTATTTTTACACAATTGCGCAATAAAGCACTGAATGTCAATGCGTTGACCGAATACTGGCCGAGCAATACCGCATGGCAAGGGTATCGTATAAATACCTCTCGCACATCGGCAAGTGCATCATTTGCAAATTCACTGCGATGGAGTGAACACGGAAGTGATTCTCTTTACACACATACTAAATTCATTGCTACAGCACACGTACAATGTAGTTTTTTGCAATAGACTTCTACATATGGCTATGCATGTTAGCGCATGTGCTAAGAGAACGCGGAAGTGCAGAAAGTTGTGGGACACTGACCAATTTCGAGCTAAGTTGGAGATCTTTCCGGGGCCCTACATGTACATGTAAATCTGATTTAATATTGAGAGTTAAGAAAAGTTGTTCAGCTGCCTGATTTGTGCAAGTTTCGTGGCTCTTAAATTATTTTTTAAATTGTTACAGCTGTTGAAATGGCTGTCTGTCCGAATACTGGGAATGGACCGAATACTGGGTGCCCTACCCTATGTCCCATTTGCAGGCCAAAAAAATGAAAAAGTTAAATTCCAACTGCATTTGAAAGATAATACTAATTTAGAACTTCCCTAAAAAAGGTGGGGCTTGAAAATGTCTTCAAGTGGAAAAATAATGACTATTAGTTGTCAAATCGACTTTAGGGCTATAGAGCCCAAAAGTAATAGTCCTGATTTTCAGACAATTGTACAGAATGGTCATACGTTTTATGCTGCGCAAAGATTCAATCCGTTTAATCTTGGTCATCACAAGAAGTGGGTTATTGATGTAGACAAATGCTCATGTACCCTTTACAACTCTTTTCATGTGTGTTATTACCAAAGAAGAAAAAGGCCAGTCAGTCACTCAATAGTGTCTGACAGTGAAGTCTAGCAAGTAAACGGGTTTCCTTGCATAATTTAAATATGAGGACACTGCTAACGTTTAAATTTCACAGATAGGACATACATGACATATTCATAATTCCTGCAAAGTTCTACAGAATTTGAGGTTGGCGGCAAAAGGGACATAGTATTAGTACCTTTAAGTGACTATAAAATCCTGTTAGATCTAGAGGAATAATTTTCTTTTCTTTTGATGGGTAGATTACCAAATAAAAGAGGTAAGAATTGAAAATATTAGCGATTTCCCCTTAAGTGACCGAATAATGGGCACTCTACCCTATGTACTTGTATTGTGCAGCGACGCGGTTTGCCGTTAAACCTGTGAAAAAGTTTAAACTAATATTAACGTTTATCCAAAAAATACTCCAAAAATAACAAGAAAATTGACACGAAACAGGTAATAAACATAAAAAATGATCTTTATTTGGACATTTAATGAATATTTACTTCATTTTGGGTATGTTTTAGTAGGGTCCACGCCAGAGTTACGGGTCAAATTTTGGATACCTTTCTGAACAAGCGCCACGCTTGCTTATCGCACAATGATAATGCAGCTGTTTAACAACAAAAATAAAGTCTGCATGTAGGCCCAGATCTACGTCTTTTTCGTCTATTCTGACAAAAGTTGGATGAATATTGCCTAGATTTTGGGGGGCTGTATCTTTGGATAGAAACATTGGTGAGTCTTGAAATTTGAAATGTACTCTAGCCTAGAGGTCTAGGGTCTATTAGACTTTTTCAGTGGGGGGGGGGGTGTAGATGACACCGATTACCAACAAAACTAGCCGCCAATTACCGAAAAATACTGTATATTAATGCCAATGTCTACAAATTTAACCCTAGACTATAATATAGACCAGGGGCTAAATTATTTCCCTATGAACTAGACTATTTATACTTGCGTAGACTATGCCCACATGGTCATTTTCCTCGACCACCTAAATATATGGATTATTTTGTCAAGACTAGTCAGCATTGTAGATATATACCGGTATGTAAATGTGCAACCAGGTTGAGCAATCAATTGGTGTGGCGTGATTGGAAAGAGTGCGGTGCTTTTCACCTCAAAACTTGCAGGTTCTCATCGCGGAGTTTCAAATTTTAACCAACTGTTTTATTTTGCTGATATCATGTTAAGGTGAAACTTCCAGAAAATACTGTTGTTGTTGTTTAGGTTTTTAGGCATTTATCATTCAGAAGTGAATATTTACGCCTCTTCTGTTAGGATTTTTTTTGTTTCAAATTAGATTTACTTTTTTAGTTTGGATTCTTAAAAGTTAAACTTTTTATCTAAAGGGCAAGTCAACTCCAAAAATAAGTTTCTTTCAATAGAAGCAGAAAAATCAGACAAACCAATCAAACAAGTTTGAGCAAAATCGGATAACTAATAAGAAAGATATGAATTTTGAATGACAGGAAAAACTTTGAAAATCACAAGACAAATTGGCAACTCAATCATGAGTCTCTGAGGTCATTGCCTCACTATCCACTCATTATTTTCTTTAGATTGATATTATAAATTTCCCATTTTCCCCCTTAGAATCTTATTTCCTTACACCAGCATCCAAGTAATATTGATAGTCTTACGTTTTTGTTGTGAATGCACCAATGTTTTGTTTTTTTTCTTCAGTTATATCATGAAAATTGATTATAAATATACAATATTCAGAAAATAGTATAAATTCTTCAAAGTTCATAAAAGATTTTGTAAAATGTTATCCACGTAATATGATACAAATCAATTAACCTGGGCAAAGGCATGGGGAAATCGAATTTAGGGGGATAAAAAGGGAAATTAATGGAATAAAAAGAAATTGATAAATAATGCCGGAGGCAATGACGTCACAAACTGATACCGGTACGTGATTGGCAATTTGTGTATTGATTTCCAATATTTCATAGTTGTTCATACTTTTTCAAAAAATCATAACTTTCTTATTAGTTGTCCGATCTTACTCAATTTTTGTTGGCTCTGTTTCTCTTGTTTTTCTGCATCTATTAAAAGCCAATTACTATTTTTTGGAGTAGACTTGAAGAGGTCAGTGGCTGCCTGGCTGGCACGCAAAAGGCCTGTCAGCTATATTAGGATGTCCAAGGACCAACCCGGACACAGTATGTTGTGACATGTTTCCCAACTCAGCCTAATTAATGCCTAGGCCCTCCAGTGTTGCACCCCACCCCCCCCCCCCTTCAGCGATGCCCCTGCCTATATAGGCTAATATACATCAGTTCCACGTACCAGCTTGACTGTATGATGTGTTTAGATGTCTTTCTTCAGCATTTTGTTGGTCGAAATTGAACTCTGTGTTGTAATTCTTGTTGTCACTTTAGTGACAATTATTTATACCTAAAAAGCAGTAAAATGCAATCAATTAAGAAAGAAGAACAAATCAGAAATCTATTGTCAATCCACTCAAGTTCAAACATACTTGGACAAGAATAATATGTTCACAAGAAGAGGCAACTGTGTCAGTTAACTCTGCAAAAATAAAGGTTTCCATGTCTGTACATTCATTCATTTTACATGCAGTTCAGAATTTTCAACTAAAGAGATACATTTTTTAGGCTTTTGAATAATACATACCGGTAATAGAATTTCCCAATGTATTAGACTGATATTTGGAATGAATGAGTATGTATGTACATCAATATAATAGAGACAATGTTTTGTGTGATTCATTAAAATGATTCTTGATTCATATGTGTGTACATCTTAGGATGATGAAGCAAGGGCAATGGAGAAGGAACAATCGCTGGCCTGGAAGATTCTCACTAACTCACAAGTCCACACATTAATGGGATTAGAAGTAGAGGAGGTTGAGAAGTAAGACTTTTAACTGTTCTTTCTCCTTTTTATTCACCCCCCCCCCCCTACTTTGCAATTCAGTCATTTATTCACCATCCATTTCATTTGACCATTCTGGACCACAGTCAGGAAGAACAAAACTTTCTTATTATGTAATCCTAATGTCAATTCTTCCAAAACCTGTTCTACATCTAGTTCAGATGTTTTGGTGAAAGTAAAATGTAAGTCCATCTTGATTTAACTTTTAAGATGTATAAGAGTTTGAGAAAGACTAATAATAATAATACGAAAAAATTATAAAGCATTTGTGAGATAAAAGTTTCAAAGCGCTGTACACAAATCAAGATAACTTCAAGAAAAATCAATATTACTAATGGAATTAACATTGCTTAAATTACCAAGAAGATCAAACATTACTAAAATTACTAAAGAAGTTAACATAACATGTAAATTCTATGAAAAGTTAACATATTATGATATCATTATATCAATAATAGCAACAATTTAAAAAGACATACTGTAGGCATTGTAATACTAATTCAAACTATTTTATAGTTATTTGGTTGTTTTTTAAATAGATGAGTTTTTAGATTCTTTTTGAAAATATCAATGGTGGGTGAGTCCTGAATATGGGCGGGAAGAGTGTTCCAAAGATTTTGGTAACATTTGATGTAGAAAATGTAGAGAATTAAGTCTATCTTGTTAAGTTTTAATTTTGGAGATGTTGAGATGTACCTGTAAACCGTCTACCTTGAAAGGGAAATCCATTCTTAGTAGCAAGCTGCTATAAAATGGAAGGAAAATCCCAGATAGTGCAAATTAAGTTTGAACAGAATCAGACAAAACAGTAAGATAATCATGAATTTTCTGGCATATGAGTCACTTGGTGTATAAATATTATAATTTAAAGTTGCTAAAGAGATGATTGGTACTGCAAAATAACAAATAGCAATGAAAACAGACATACTAAAGCTTATATCGTCTGAGTTTTGCTTTCTGTACATTCTTGGGATTTGCTCTGATCAGGGCAAGACAGAAAGCTGAATAGTATGTCTGTTTTTATTGCTTTTTTCAATTCAGAGTTGGCTTAATCAGTAATGTCACTGTTATTTAATGATGGACAACTCTCCCAATTGGACTAGAATGTACAGTTTTTTGTTACTTCTGTTACTCACTAGGATATTTTTATTTTTTTTAATATTGTTTTTAATATAACAATGTACTCTCCATGTATGTCACACAACTGACGGATCCAATAGCCACTTTGAGATAAATCTCTAATATTTAGTGATCTTACCATTAAAACCTTCATAACTCTTTTAAGTATTCGTCCAATTGGATTTCTTTTAAAGTTTCACTAATCTTTTTCTCTAATTGTTTTTTTCTTTTTCACACAATTACCATTTCATTTTGTTTTTGCTTTAGGTCTTTGTCAGAGATGTTGACTGTGCCTAGCTATACGACAGACTTGAAAGAAGCAACCTTATTAGATTATTACACCTCTGCTTTCTGGTGGGCAAAAGAAGAAGGTTTTGATGCGCAGCAGATTTCTGGCTTCTTCACTGTGGTATCTACACTCATGGCAAATGTCAAAGGTAATTCACATTCATTTTCTAGATATACAATTATACATGCATACATTACAGACCCTTAACTTTTTGCTTTGAAGAAGAAAAAGAATTATTCAAAATCTTAGAGACATTTCATTGAAGTCAATGAAATCTTTAAGAGAATTCATTTAAGTCAATTTGTTACTGTTGGTAAAGGGGGTTAGAACCCTTTTTATGCCTCCGTTACGAAGTAGCCGGAGGCATTATGTTTTCGGGTTGTCCGTCCGTACGTACGTACGTCCCGTTCTTGTGATCGCGTTATCTGAAGAACCGATCAATGGATTCCTGCCAAACTTTGGTCATGTATGTATCTTGCAGAGCCAATGAACTGATTAGATTTTGGGGTCATGAGGTTAAAGGTCAAAGGTCACAGGGCTCATTATGTATGCATAAACAGCTTATGATCGCGTTATCTCAAGAACCGATTGATGGATTGCTGCCAAACTTAGGTCATGTATGTTACATGCAGAGCCGATGAACTGATTAGATTTTGGGGTCTTGGTCAAGGTCAAAGGTCATGCGGCTCATTATGTATGCAAAAAATAGCTTGTGATCGCATTATCATTAGAACAGATTGATGGATTCCTGCCAAACTTTGATCATGGATGTATCTTGCAGAGCCAATGAACTGAGTAGATTCTTGGGTCATGAGTTCAAAGGTCAAATGTCATGGGCTCATTATGTATGCAAAAATAGCCTGTGAACGCATTCTCATTAGAACTGACAGATGGATTACTATTTAACTCAGGACATCTTGCAGAGCCAATGAACTGAGTACATTTTAGGGTCATGAGGTCAAAGATCAAAGGGTCATATATGTATATGAGAAATTGCTTTTTGGTTTGTAAACTTGCTCTGTGACGGAGGCATCATTTTCGACTGCGCGCAGTCGAAGTTCCATCTAGTTTAAGGGGAAACACTTCTTAGATGTATGTGTGCACTGTGCAGACAATTTTCTCTCAAATACTGTTTATGATTATAGTGTTTAAGTATTCAGAAATACAATCACTATAAAGAATCCCATCATCTCATACAGTTTCAGATTTTCAAAACATGACAGAAGACTCTGGGTATGCACTGTATGTATCAATGTCAATAAAGCTTGTGTCCTTTTTAATAAACAGACAACATGACAGCTGCAGAGAACCTGGCTGAGTTACGTAAGATGATGGTGGGTGTAGGCACCAATGTCGATGAGGCAAATGGAGGTTTAGATTTTCTGACTTTAAAGCAAGCCAAACTCATCAGTAGCTTCCTAGAAACAACGTAAGTAAAGTGGATAGATTCAAGAACTTGTGATTAGTAATCATGCATTTTTGTTGTTTCCAAGTTTAGACTATATAAATATGGATATAACGTGTATGTATTCCTTGCACCCTGGCCAGCTTTATTCAACTCTGGGTTCTGCCATATAACAGTTAGCTTGCATGTAGTTGTAACCCATGACTATATACATGTATGCAATCATTGATCTAAAAGAAAATTTGAGTGATTTTAATCAATTATTTGTTTTTACTACCTTTCAGTACACAATATTTGTAAGTGACATGATTGGAAGTGCCTGTGATTGTGCAATAAATCATTGACTTGTATCACAGATCAGATAGAGATTCTGAAGTTACTAGAACACTGACTGTTATGTAATTTTCTACAGTGATAAAGACTTTAACCCATTGCCTATGGCAATGGGTTTTCCTCTATTCTTTATCTTACAAGCGGAAATTTGAGAATTCAGTAGTTATCAGGTTGAAAGAGGAAGCTCTACTTATTTTTCTTTTTTTGCTATCTTGGCCTAAACAAGTATGTTGGTAAATTAAATCAATTATTTTCTTGTACAAGTTTTATCTTATTTTTGTGATTTGAATTTCTTATATTTATTTCCTAGATTATTCCAGCATTACAGTCTCTATCACTTTCTTCATCATGGTGAAAGAGAAGAACAAATTGTCTGCACTGATGTAAGTAAGGGCTACTATTAGGGTTAGGGTTAGGGTTAGGGCTATTATTGTCATTATTATTAGGCTACTTAGCATGCAACTATCTTTTATTATTCAACAGAAACTCTTCTGTCCATTGGACAGATTTTGCAGCAAAAAGTTTGGTTCTATTAGCACATAATCAATAAATGTTATATTGGCAGAGTTAAAATTCTCCATAAACATGATGGATCTGGTCTTCCTGTGGATTCTTTTCCCTGAATTAATTTTTCTTATTGAGAAAATGAAGATTCTTGAATTACCTAGGAGGCCAAAGAATTACCCCTGTGAGCAAAGTACCATAGAAAAACAACTTTATCCAGACCATGGTGAATATTAGTGACAAAGTTTGGATTAATAATCAATTGAATTTAGGTAGAGGTACATATGTTTGTTAAAAATGTGGTCACATTTATCAATTCTGAAACGGTCCCAGCTTTCATATTGAAACAAAATATATATAGTAAATAAATTTGATAAGTATGAAATATTTTCTTGCCAGCTGTGTGTTGAGACATTGCCTCCAGCCGCAATGCCATACCCTGCTCCACTAGATGAAGGTGTAGACGAAGCTGCTTATCTCAAACACATTGCCCCACCCCCTCAAGAAATGAAAGAGGAAGAAGTAGGAGATGAAAAGATTGACGAGAAGGTTGTTGAGATAGCAGGAGATCCCCAGAATGACAAAGGTTTGTTCGTAGGGCAAATAAATAACAACATTTACGCAAGTATTACTTTTAAAAATCCTTAATGATGTAATGAAATGATTTGTTTTTGTATTTCTAAATTTTATTGGTGAAATGGAAAGTTTATGTTTGTACCTACAAATTTTCATTTTTATTTATAGGATAGAGCATAAAAACTAACAATCTTCTAGCCATGAAGGGGCAGTTTCTACATTTCTTTGCTTGTATACATGTATCATATTGAACCTGGCAAAACAGTGTAAAACACAAATTTTGTCAAATTCTTCATTTTTCAGATTTGAAATGAAAAGATAACAAATTAGCAGGACAATAAGCAGAAATTGTAACATATCTCCAGTAACAATTTAGATGATATACAATCTGAAATGTGTAGCAGAAAAGTCAAAATTTGAAATGTGTATTCTAGAACGGAACCTGGCGCCTGTGCATCTATCCATGTCTTGCTGCTAGGTATACAATAAGACATTGGCCATAGATAGAAGGAAATTTATGAAATTTGACATAAACCAATTGAGACATTGGATGTATATATGTAAATGTATGTTTTGGAATTACGAACATAGTGTATTGCTCATGCACTTTAAAAAAAATGCAAACACAAAATTGCTGCCTACCTTTCAAGAAAAAGATTGAAGGAACTAGGATAGAATTTGATGTCAGAAAGGGTGATTCAAACGGTTATTTTGATATGGGGCCCCTCCCGTACTTTATGGATAGAAATCATTGATTAAACATTCTATTTTAGACTTGTATATTTTGTGATGTTGCAAAGAGCCCTTTAAATCTTAGGAGGTATATTAGGGTCAACACTGAAAGTCATGTAACCACTAGGGGGAAGTTGGGAGGGGGTGGGGGGCTACCCAAAAAAATACATAGAATATAAGGAGGACCTTAATCTTCAAACTCAGAAGCCATAATAATCTTCATAGTAATTCATAGTATTGTGTTTGTATATATCTCTGTGTAGAAGTTGAAGGAGATGAAACCAAAGATGTCTTAGCTGGGGTCACAGTAGAAGAAGTGCAGACTGTCTTTGATAAGGTGGCAAAGGAAATGTTTGCAGGACTACAGGTTAGCAATTAATCTTTTTTCCCCCTTCTTACATACCCTCTACCTTTCCATACACTCTGTCTTTATTTTATTTTTTGCAGGCTCTCTCCTCTCTTTTAATATCTCCTGATAATTTTTTTTTTTCTTAAATATCCCTCCTTTCCGATTGTACAATAATCTTTATATTGATGATGTTTTCATTTGAAGAAAGAAAAAAAAGGATCCCACTATTTTGTACTCCTTCCTTCCACTGTGTTTATACCTCTGCCCACCAAAAGTGGTGCCAGAAGCATTATGCTTTGGGGCTGTCTGTCCATCTGTCTGTCCATACATACATCCCTCTTTATTTTTTTTTTATTTTTTTTTGGGGGGGGGGTGATATCTGAAGAATCATTTCAACCATGAACTTCAAACTTGGTGCTAGTAAATATTACTGTAGGAAAAAAAATCGATTAGATTTAGGGATTCGTAGGTCAAAGATCATAGACATCAGTTTCAATGAAATTGCATGTGTCCAGCCTCTTTACTATGATATCTCAAGAACCACTATATAAAATGTCTAGATTCCTTTGTAAGTCTGTTGTTTGTTATTGCTGTTTACTTCTACAATTTATTTGAATAAAGGTGGTTTAATTTCTATTCTCGTTTCTTTTTCTTTTTTGTAGGATGAGATTGCACTGAAACTGAAAGAGAGAGAAGCTGATATTATCACTAGGATAAACAGAATACATCGAATAGCTGAAACATAGTACACTGGTATTGGATGAACATAACATAACAACTAATCCATTTGCTTCATCATATGTTTTTCAAAATCTGTTTCAAGCGTAATTGTTCTGACTAGAGTATTTAACTTGATATATATCCTATGGTCTGTTAAGAAAAAAAAAAATCCTTCTTGTATGACAACATCCCACCCCTTGCCTAGATTCTTCCCCATTTCCATATGCACAAATGATTGACATATATTTGTGTTTATGGATTGTTATTGATTGGTAATCTTTTGAAGGTTAACTATCTTTGAGGGATGTGGTGGGTAGGAGAGGTACAGGATGTTTCAGCTTGTACAGAAAAGACGGCAATAATCTCCAAAATCTTGCTAAAGCTATGGTCACAAATCAGAGGAGCGACCAACCGATCAGTAGCCTGCTCGGTCGCTGCTGGAATTTAGGCATTGCCCTGCGACTTTTGGAGAAGTCGAGCAGGCTGTAGAGCCCCAGCGATGCCTGGGCGGTGACCTGTCGATTGCCCGTCGGTCGCCGGTCGATTTTAGGTAAAAACTGGGCGAAATCGCAGAGCTTTTTCGCGCGGTGTCCCGGCAGTGACCGACCGGTGACCCTCCTATTGCTGGGCGGTCTCCCACCAGCCACCGGCTGATTTTAAAGAAATTGCCTGGCGGCCGGCCAGTGATCGGCGGGTCTCCAAAATATGTCCGGTGCCTGGCTGTTCGCCGCCCGGGCACCGAACTAATCGAGCATTCGCCGCCGAGCGATTTAGGTCAAAGGCTCGATTAGGTCGGCGCCCGGGCGGTTGCCGAGCGTAGTCTGGGCAGCAAGTGAAAGTGAGCAGGCGCCGCCCGAATTTTAACTCCAAGCTAAAACTTAAGCAGCGACCGAGCGATGCCTTAAAAATGAGCGGTGCCTGGGCGGCCGCCGCTCGGTGGCCGGGCAAAATTGGCTAAAAACTCGCCGCTCGGCCGCCGAGCAGGCTACTTTTAGGTAATGTGACCATAGCATAAGGGATGAAGTTGATGTATTTGGTTGATAATTTCCTTCATGTTAACTACACAATTCTAATAGAATTTGTTACTGTTTCAATCCACCCTTTTGGAAGTGTTTGTAGATATTTGGTAAAAAGAGGATCTAAGATACTAAAAACAAACCTGCACTGTAGTGTGTCTATCTGTGGACATATTTTATAAAAGATGTTTTAGAGGTGTTGTGGTCTCATGAATAAGTGATCAATCCTAGCCTGGTACTAATGTCAATCTACATTTACCAATCTCCATTTAGGTGAGAATGGGTATCTAAAATTCTTGAGCACTAGTTGAACTTGTTCTACTTGTAAATACACAATTTTTTGGAAAACAAAGAGCTGTGTCTCTCAGTAGTTTCATATTTTTTTGTTACAGCTAGTGTACATGCATTTATGTATCAAGATATGTAAGAGTGAAGTATTTTATCAATGTCACTAATAAATATGACAATTTATGGAGGGAAAATTTGAATGTTCTAATTTTAAATCCTTTGTTTACTTGAATGGAGAAAAATATTGCTATTAAGAAATACCTTGATGATCGAGTCCACTACAAGAATTATATTTTTTTTTTAATTAAAGGATGTGCTAGTGAAGTGGTAAAACAGTAGAAAAGATTAAGCGCTGTGTAAGACAAATGAGATTCATTAGGTGTCCAGATTCATGTTCTGGTTTGTAAAATCAAATATATGTAACAAGTTACACTTACAAGTTGAGTGAATCCCCTAAACAGCTAGTCTATGAAAATACCTTGCAGCTTCATCATAAATGATTTGTATTATTACTCTAGTCTTAAAGACATTTTTGTTGTTATTCTTCATATTGTTCTGGGGCACTGTGGTATACATGTAGCTGCTTTAATAACTTTATGTTCCCTGCCTTGACATACCAATATATCCCTAATCAGTGACCTCTGTCTTTTGACCTAGGTATTAATGTGTGAGTGACTGGTACCAAATAATTAGCCACTTTGGAGGTAGCACTTGAATAGATGTCCCACATTGTGCATTTAGAATAATCACTGCCAAAGTGATGCAAGGTTCCTCATGAACTCCTTTTTTTGCCCTCTTGAAAAGAATACTTCCACCTGTGTATCATAAAATGTACCACTGGTGATATATGTAATGATGACTTTCATGAACCTGTATCCAGCAGTTGTCTTGATGGGTTTAGCAGTTTTTTTTATAAATAACCTTTATTTGCCAATGTGCATAAAGTCTTTCTGAAGTTGCTTATACCATGTTATATTTGGTTAATTCACTTTCATCTTTCCTACCTAGTGTGTATACCTTAAAGCAGGTTCAAAGCTTCTATACTAGAAGATAACATGATGACAAAAAAACCTTTTGTATATATTTGTACAAAACTTTTTTTAAATTGTATCATTTAAAGCTAGTGTATATACTGTACATATATTCTGTGGAAATTCTGTAGATATTTTTGAAGATTTTACATAATGGGTCTATATTTATTGAGATGTACAGGGACAATTGCAGTTATTAAATTCTTTGATAGTAATTGAAATTCAAAAAGGATATGTGTTATATGTTTGATAGAGCTGTGCTGTTTTGTGCATGTACGTGTGTGCATGGGTCAGTTGGTAACAACGACTCTCATAAGACTGAACTGTACCTTAATTCACTTTGATGATCACTCCCAATTAAAGGAAGGCCCTGTAAATTTGTTAAAATTTGAAGCCCTTTCATACATGGTTACGTATAGGTGCTCTATTCGCACACAAACAGTAGGTCCTCGGTTATGCAGTAACTTTCCATAGATGATATATTCCTAAAAATATGAGTGTCCTCAAACAGGTAATAACTAACTTGTGTGTACATATGAGTGTGTTGTTTGTTTCAAGATATTTATCAAACATACCATGCAATGAGAGGCTCCGGTCAAAATTCTTCTATCTTTGAAGAGTGTAGCGCTGCTGTGTTTTCAGAATATCTTCCATGAGCAACATACACACTGCACTAAAACATACACACACAAAGTCTTAAAAAACATGCAAGCACTAAAACAATCAAGCGCCAAGCACTCATTAAAACAGGCATGAGCATTAAAACAATCAAGCGCCAAGCACTCCTAAAAACAGGCATGAGCATTAAAACAATCAAGCACCAAGCACTCATAGAAACAGAGAAACAGGCATGAGCATTAAAACAATCAAGCGCCAAGCACTCCTAAAAACAGGCATGAGCATTAAAACAATCAAGCACCAAGCACTCATAGAAACAGAGAAACAGGCATGAGCATTAAAACAATCAAGCGCCAAGCACTCATAGAAACAGAGAAACGGGCATGAGCATTAAAATAATCAAGCGCCAAGCACTCCTAAAAACAGGCATGAGCATTAAAACAATCAAGCGCCAAGCACTCCTAAAAACAGGCATGAGCATTAAAACAATCAAGCGCCAAGCACTCATAGAAACAGAGAAACGGGCATGAGCATTAAAACAATCAAGCGCCAAGCACTCATAGAAACAGAGAAACGGGCATGAGCATTAAAACAATCAAGCGCCAAGCACTCCTAAAAACAGGCATGAGCATTAAAACAATCAAGCGCCAAGCACTCATAGAAACAGGCATGAGCATTAAAAAACATACATGTACTTCACATGAATTCATCTCTTTAAAAGAAAAAATCAATAAATTATTAAGAAACTAAAGAAAATGCAGCAACATCTTTTTGGAAAACTTTTAGGTTGCCCTATTGCCTGCAGCCTGGGCCTTTTCAAGATTTGTTAACAAAGGCATGGTGCTTCGAAAAGTTGATAACCAAACATTAGGGAATCTTGCCGACATGTCACAGTAGTGTATGAATTTCATTTTGAGATCTTTCAGAATTGGCATTCATGGATGCCCAGTTGGGAAAAATAGGCTTACAGCAATTTACAAAAATCACAATCTCTTATATCAAAGAAAGAAGACTGCTCAGCATAACAATGCATTGAGAACTTTTCACTTCTGACCCTGCCGATGCCCCTTATGCTGATGTACTGCTCATTCCATGGCTGCATAATCATATCAAATATGGTATCATTTTAAAGAAGAATAAACACTATCTAATGATACTAAACAAAGCAATGATTATGTCATGACAAGAGATATATAATCAATCAAACTTACTTTATGGCCCGAATTCACAAAGGAGGTTTACATTTAACCCATGGTTTAAACCTTCATTTACATAACCCATGGTTTAAAATTAATGCAAAATAAGCGCAACACAGTCAAGACTGGTCCAATATTAGATGCGTGCAAGACAAGGTACGCTTATTTTGCGCCAAACCATGGGTTTAATATTAACCTCCTTTGTGAATTTGGGACTTTGGGTTTATATTAAAGTTAAACAATATTTGAAAGTTGAGAATAGCTACTTTTGGGATAGCAAAGATCAAGAGATATGTGTGTGAGTGTGTTGGTGTGGAGATATGAATGCAGAGATATGACAATATACCAGCATAATCTTGCTTTCTTTGGACTTGAACATAAGTCATTTATTATACAATATTTTTCTACGAAACATGTTTTTCATACGGAATCAAAAGCCTGAGAACATGGCATAGACTGCACATAAAAAGTTTGCAATAAATGAATCTAGGAAATGAATAAATTAGAAGCATTCTACTGTCACGATCTACACACAAATACCCTCATCATTCTGAATAAATACTCAATTTATAACTTTGCACAATATTTGCTTTGTTTTATGTCTCAAAGCATTCCTTTTCACCCTTTTCTTAAGAAAAACAAATTGATATCATATTCTGAGTTCTGATTTTCTTTAACTTTCAAACTCAAAATAAAGATGATATTTCTTATACCTACTGTATGAACATGTAGTGTGTGCATTAGAAACTAAGACGGTACGAATACCACTGCACTAAAAAGTCCTCGACGGAGATCAATCCAATTTAACAATAAAAAGTCTTTAAAAGAAAGCTTGGAAGATTTCATAAATAATTTATGTGAACAAAATATGACATCATTACTCATTAAACTGAGTTTCTTGAACAATAATATTATGTAAGTAGATTTTGGGATGAAGACATTGAAAGAAGAGAAACCATGTACTGAAATTTCAAATCAACATTTACAAACCGATTTCAATACTGTCAATGCTAGCACAACATTGTGTTCATTATGTGACACTCCTCTTGTGGTCTTGCTAGGCACCATAATTACCTCAATTCTGTTTTTAATCATTGTTGGAAATATCACATTCATATTAGGATCCAATTTGTGTTTTGGGGGTGTAAATTCCACAAATAGCACAGCATAACAAATCACATTTTCATGTAATACAGAGAATATTTTATAAAACTTTGTCTTGAACCGAAGTGCAGGACCATAAGAAAATTGCCCAAAATAGCAGATACATTACCCATATGCAATAATTATGCACTTGCTTATGTATACTTTTGCAAATCATCTATTTAGGGAGTACAGTGATTAGTTGTTAATGACAAATAACCTTGTCACCAAATTCTAATATATGGGTGCCTTTTGAGGCTAATGTTCATGTAACGCCTTTCCTCACATCTTTGAGCTACCTTTTATAACATATATCATCTGAAAAGAGCTAGAAGCTAGGACATTACCTTCTTTCATTTAATACAGTTATTACAATTCTGGCTTGCAGCAGATAATAAGATAACTCTTTATACTAAACACTGGTTAGAACCGAGGATTTACAAAATAACATGTCAAGGAAAGATATCAAATCATTATTTTGGTGGTAGAAGAAAAATGTTTCCTCCAAATATATGAAATATTCTCAAGCATTTCAAAATAAGCAAATGGTGATAAAAGCTATAGTATAAGTACACTTTGTAAATAGCTTATCTTTGAAGGCCTTTTACATGAAGATTCGTTTTCATATCTTTGCTTATTTACCATCAGTATAATGGACAAATTAAGATGATTGTAGAGATGTTTAGAGCATAAAGGACTCACTTGTCTTTTGGTTAAATAATGATTATATAATCATCCTGGATCAGAGAGACATCGATTATGGAGACGCAGTTACAAGTAGAGCTAAAAGCAATAATCCCCATTAAAAAGAAGAAATATGGGGAAATATGGGGGAGGAATACAAGAAATACAAAGAAATTGATAGGCAATAAGACAGAGAAAAAAGAGAAAGAGTGTGAGAACAAGAATAAGGATGCTATTCTGATAATGTTTGCTTACATTATGGTACAAGTTGCATGGTTCATGATAATAAAGTACACTTAGGATTATCTTTTACTTTACCATGTCAAGTCTTACAAGAACTAATATTTCCAATCTCTTTATTTAAGCTCCCCCATGTCGATTCATACATGTACAAGACTTTTTTTTTTCTTCAATCTCTTCCCTTAATCTTTCACATATCAAGTCTTACAAGTATCACAATCATTCATCTCTTTGTACAACTTCCAGGGTCAAACCTTGCAAGAATGTATCATATCTTCCTTAAAGCTCCACTGAACTACTTATAGCTACTTGTGCCCTCTATACAGCCAACAATGCCTAATCGGTAACCGTTGATCCCCCAGGATGCCCTTTTTCTTATGTTAATTAAGAGCTGATTTGATGAGATAACCACCTGCCAGTGACCTTGCAGGGAGGTCTAATCCCTCCATGCCAAACTAGTACAGAGGGGCTTTAAAGCTTCCACATCTGAAATGTTAAATTAAAACCTATCCCAAAAAGTCCCAATCTTGTGTGACTCTTTCAGTTAAAAGACTTTGATCACCTTACAGACTTAATGAAAACATGAACATTATTTGGCAGTATCAAATCACATGAACTGAGACTCAAAGAAATTACTTTAAATCAATTATAAATATATTCATCAAAGTCATATAAATGAAATCAATCAATTCAACCCTTATATCTTTATAAGTATTATAAGAATGGAAAGTAATATAATCTATTCTATATTTCAAGCAAAATATCATCTGTTATACATTAACCTATATGTATATCATATAAACTATTCACTGACTACATCACAGTTATACTATTAGAAGCTTTGGCTGTATTTTCAAAATACAACATTAAAATTACATCAATGTAAATAAAGACCTGCTTTGTAAACTATACGCATTAAAAAAAATGAACTTCATTCTCAAAGCAAAATCCTTTCTAAAAACATACAAACTTCATTCAAGTATCATTATCTATTTCCACACAGACAATGTAAATGATTAATTAAAATGTACATGTACGTTCTAGTAAAAAGCATACCCCAAAACTGTGATTTCACACATAATTACTTTCTTTCACATTCGTTGCCTTTTGACGCAATCTTCCCTCTGTTGAAAAAGAAGAGAGAATTGTATTACATTATTGCACAATTTATGGCCATTTTCAAGTTTCTCTAAAACATCAAGAGCTTAATCATTAGATTTATCCTCCAAAAATCAACACACATTCTTTCACAACACCAATAATAAGCAAGTATTTGATAGACAATTATTCCCAATAAACAATGTTAAAGTATGGCAATAAAACCAAAGAATTTGTAAGCAAAATATATGCAGGGTCTAGGAAACCCTCAAAACTCTAAATGGCCCTGGCAATAATTGATTTATATAAGGGGCAATCCCAAGCAAAACATTTCATAAACCTTACCATTTCAAGTTTGTCTCACCATATAACATTAAGTGTCATGTCTAATGTGAATATCCAAATTTTCCTAATCTGAAAAAGTATACATTTTAACTGCTGAAAATTGAAAGTTGTATAATCAATCAACATAATTTCAAAATTAATACAACTAATGAATACCAAATACTGTGTATGACAGAATTTCAGAGAAAAATTCATACTAGTAGGACCTGCTTGCTGAAGTACAAGTGATACCCAAAGTCTAGTTACAGCCAGCCTTACTTTATTCTACATATATTCTTTTGTCATGTTTGCAATGTCTGTTTGTTATATATTTGTAAAAATGCAAAAAGAAAAAGAAAATCAAACAGAAATAAATAAATCAAATCAAATCAAATATAGGAACCAGTAGTATCAGTATTTTTTGTTTTACATAATTTTTCATGTTTCATTAAACTTGGAGACTAATATACTCTGTAAAATTATCATTCTGTAACAGCCACAACACTTCATTTCAACTTATTTCTGACACAGATGATTTATTATGTCATGAAAGATTAAAGGTAAGTCAATTTTGATTACACCTATGAAATACATATAATTTGTTAATGAAGCAATTAACAGAGGTACTGATTTATTTTTGTCATCACATTGATTTTTGCAGAAATCAATACAACCCTGGACATTTTTCAAAATAATTTTCATTAATCAAACAATATATGAAGGAGTAAAATGGAATTGAATAGCTCACTTTCTCCGTTAAATATCATCATTGATTTGATATTGAACAGTTTTGGGTTTTGTGTGGAGTATTATTGGGAATGAATCTGAGGATACCACTACTACTACTAATAACAATAATAATTATAATAACATTTATATACCACTAAATACCAATGCTTATAAGCACTATACTACTTTTACACCAGCATTAACTAAGCATACAAATAATTGGGTGAAAAACATTCATGTACGTAAAGATAGGCTGATTCATAACAGGACCATGCCAGTTTATGTTGTTTATTTCCTTTTGAAAGGATGGAGGCCAGCACAGGAAAGCCCAAAAGATTTGGAATACACCAAGTTATTCACTATAATCAGTAGTAGTGGTAGAAGTAGTAGTAGTAGTAGTAAGAGTAAGAGTATTTTATAGCAGTGGTATTAGTATTAGTGATTATGGCTGTCATAATAAATGGAGTAGTAGAAGTAGTGAGAGAAACAGTAATAGAAATACAATATTATCACTATAAAAGTAGCAGTATTAAGGATAGAAGTAAAAAATAGTAGTGAGTAGAAGTGAGTAGTAGTAGTGAGTAGAAGTAGTAGTAGTGAGTAGTAGTAATAGTAGTATTATTAAACATAATAGTGTTGTGGTTTAATAACTCACAGGAAATGTAAAGGTTGTGGGTTTGATCCTCAGCACAGCACTTTTTTTCTTTAAGCAAGTCATATTATCTACATTGCTTCCCTACATCCAGATGAAAAAGGGGATACCTGCTATAATGCAAAGTCATTGTGTTTTTTCAGCATTGTGAGTGTCAATAAAAAAAATGCCTGACTGCAACCCATCCATTAAGTGGAAAATGTATATAATATGTGTTTAGGCAAGCCAAAATCTGATGAGTAAATTTTCCTGCAAAGTGGTTACAAAGGGGCATTGTAGATGTATCAAGTGTAGTAGTAGTATGTAGTAGTAGTAGTAGTAGTAGTAGTAGTAGTAGTAGTGGTATTTGTAGTATAGTAGTGTTAGTAAAAGTAGGGAGAGTAGTAATAGTGTTATTGTAGTGGAAACAAAGTACTTATAGTAGGAGTATGAGTGGTAGTAATATTTGCACTGTAATTGATAGTAACGTACAAGAAGGGAGAGTGATGGTTGTTGTATGGCAGTTTCATTTTCATGTCAATAGGGGTAATAGTTGTGGTAAATAAAAAAACAGGAGTAGAAGTAGCAGAAGTTGTAGTGGTAAAAGAAGAAGCAGTAACAGTACTAGTAGTTGTACATGTACATGTACATAAATTAGTAACAGTGGTGGTAGTAGAAGCAGTAGTAGTAGTAGTAGTAGTAGTAGTAGTAGTAGTAGAATATAGTAGTAGTAGTAGAAAAAGTAGAAGCAGTAGTAGTAGTAGTACTACTAGTCTTTGACGTAGTAGTTGCATTTATCTGAAGTAGTAGTATTAGTAGTAGTAGTACTGGCAGTAGTAGTAGTAGTATTTCCAGAAGTAAAAGCAGCAGTAGATGAAGTAGTAGCAGTAGGAGTAGTAATAATATTTTAAGTGGTAATAGCATTTGAAGTAGTACTATTTTAGTAGTACTAAGTACTAGTAGTAGAAGTAGTATTTTTTAGTAAAAGTAATATTTTTAGCAGTATTTGTAGTAGTAGTAAAAGTTTTTGTTATAGAAATAGCAGTAGTAGTAGTAGTAGTAGCAGCAGCAGCAGTAGTAGTAGTAGTAGTAGTAGTAGTAGTAGTAGTAGTAAGTAGTAGTTTCAGAAGTTCAAGAAACTTTTCAAGGCTCACTTATTTTGTCAGAGAGAAAGGTGTCTGGCGCAACTGATATTTTATATTAAGTACGAGGGCACAAACTGTGAAGCACTCTGTAGCTGCAAGGTAAAGGTGCTACACCAAATAATCATTGGACAGGACTGGATTGGGTAACAGAAGTAGGATAAGTAGTATTAGCTGCAATATTATTACTAGTAGTAGTACTAGTGGTAGAATTATTAGCCCAGTAGTAGTAGAAGTAGCAGTAGTAGCAGCAGTAGTAGAAGGAGTAGTAATAGAAGTAGTAGCAGTAGTAGAATTAAAAGCAATACAAAGAGAGTATAAGTATTAGTAGCAGCGGAAGTAGCAGTAGTAGTATTAGTAGTAGAAGTTGTTGTAGAAGTAATAGTAAAAGTAATAATAGTTTTAGTAGTAATAGTAGTAGTAATAGAAATAGAAAGAGTACAAGTAGTAGTAGTAGTAGTAGTAGTAGTAGTAGTAGTAGTAATAGTATTTAAGGTAGTAGTAGCAAAAGTAGAAGCAGTATTATTAGTAGCACTAGTAGTAGTAGTAGTAGTAGTAGTAGTAGTAGTAGTAGTAATAGTATTTAAGGTAGTAGTAGCAAAAGTAGAAGCAGTATTATTAGTAGCACTAGTAGTAGTAGTAGTAGTAGTAGTAGTAGTTGTATAGTTGTAGTAATATAACTAGTAACAGTAGTACAATAATATTTAAAGTAGTAGTAGTAGAAGTATTTAAAGTAGTAGTAGTAGTAGTAGTATTTAAGTAGTAGTAGCAGCAGTAGTAGTATTAGTATTATAAAATGTAGTAGTACTAGTAAAAGTACTTGTAATACAAGTAGTATGAGTACTTACAGTATTATTAGTAGTATTAGTATTAGTAGACGCAGCTGTAGTTTTAGTAGTAGCAGATGTATTTGAAGTAGTAGAATCAGTAATTCGAACAGTAGCAGTACGTAGTAGAAGCTGTAGTAGTAGTAGTAGTTGTACTAGTAGTAGTAGTAGTAGTAGTAGTAGTCGTAGTAGTAGTAGTAGTAGTAGTAGTAGTAGTAGTAGTAGTAGTAGTAGAAGTAGTAGTAGTAGTACATGTAATGGTAGTAGTAGTAGTACATGTAATGGTAGTAGTAGTAGTAGTAGTAGTAGTAGTAGGAAGAGGAGGAGTAGAAGTTGTAGTATTGGCAGTAGTAGTAGTATAGAACTGTAGTACTGTAGTAATATGTGAGCACTAGAAATAACACCTCTATTATATTAAGTAATATAGGTGTGTTAATACCTCAGAGCAAATAGTCTTCTACTGAGTTCATCTGAATGTCCGCTATGAGTCTGATTACAAAAGAATAAACTGCTGTCAAAAAAAACTTGGAAATCAAAAGTGAAAAAGAGAGGTTTATAATGCTGCTAATTTTCAGATTGTCATATCCATTCCATTACACACTGACTGCATTGTTTTTCCACTCAGAATCTTGCATCAAGTATGAAATATGAAGTGAATCTAATTCTTTTACAGTACCTAACTTATATGATGTTGGTTAAATAAAGCACTTGTTTACAACAGTATCAATTTAATACTTTTCTCAGCATAGTATACTATTCATAGTATTACCATTGATGAGTACTGCCTCATGGACTTGCTTGGTAGCTTTCCATTTTAATTTATTATACAAATATTTGAACAACAAAATTAATCTAATGTTTCCAGCCTTGAATGACACATAATGCCAATATTCCCTATGCTTCAAAGAGCTGGGGTTTGTAATGGAAATATGATTATATCTTCATGAGGAGAGCCTTGTGGCATCAAATTTACTTGTATACTTGATAATACATGAAGTACATGTAATATATTGTTGACATCTTTCAAAAAAAATGTCCTAATAGTTGTCTCTACCTCAAAGTGAAAACAAGTTAGAATGAAGTGGTAATGCGATCTTTGCTACCTGCTCTGTAAAATATACAAGTATACCATATACACAATGAGAACCAGCCCATATTGTCAAAAGTAATTCATACCTTCTATACATCTTAAAAATCCAGGTAATAACTGTCGAAGAATCTTTGACAATGATAGTATTTCTGAGAAAGAACATGCATATGACAAACAAACACACAAACATATATAAGTCATGCTTTTGTTATAAGGAATTGCTATCACATAGCTATTGATAAAGGACTTGGACAAGAATACTTTAGTACAATCCAGGTGTTTCTTTACCAGACGTCAGTAGCTTTAATGTTGTCACTTTTTTTTTACTCTAGATAAAAAAAATGGAAATTTATATGTCCATTCACATTGTTATCAAGTACGTTAATGCATTATCAAACAATAATGCCAATAATGAATTACATTCAATCAAGTCTTCCAAAGTTTGATTCGACTTCGGAGTGAAGCAGGCTTGGGTGTAGGATCTTTTTCAGCATGAACTGACTCCATTTTCTTTTCATCAGGCTTGAAGTTCCGTGGCAATGTTTGGTTCTTCAACTTTGACGATGCTATAAGAAGATAAAGCATTGTATTAGCATATAAAATAAAATAATGTAACATTATATGACTTTCTGACACTGAAACCAAGAGTGCCAATATTAATGTGAATAATAATGATAATAATAATAATAATAATAATTACATTTATATGGCGCTTTAAACTGTTCTCTTTTCTATATCTAACACATACAAGACTTCATCCTTGATATTCAGGTATACTAACATAATCTCCAATATTGATTTTATTTTTCATGAAAACAAAATCCTGATTTTGGGGCAAAAGGAACATACATAAATAGGATGATATACACAATGTTTTTGTTTTTCATTTTCTGGTTGTCAAGTGGCCGAGTATGGGCAGATGACCTTGACAAGCCTATGACCTTGACAAGCCTATGGGTCCAGGTCCTTAAACTGTAGGTGAAAGGCAGGCAGGCAAATACTTTTTTCTCTTTTTGGTAGAGCATTTCATGGATGGATACCAGTATTTTGAGTTGATTATGAATGGCTTACTGTGGAATAGATTCCATATATTCTTACCAGTATTTTGACTTGATGAGGGTGATTTATTGTGAAATAGATTTCATATATTCTTACCAGTATTTTGACTTGATGAGGGTGGTTTACTGCTACTTGATTTCTTCTTAATCCTCTTGAAAGTTCCACTGCTTCCTCTACCCTGCACCTATAAAAGTATTAAAAGTATTGTCATCATAGAGGCTTTTTATTCGGGTGGAATCGTTAAATTGAATTTGAAATATTGTCATACGATGAAAAAATAGTCCGGTGACATATGAAATTAAAATTACAGTATGGCTTACTACCCTATTCATTTACATCTAGGAGTTGTATAACAAATGAATATCAGCCTCTATGACCATCTATCTAAATAACTAAGACAAGCTACCAAATTTGTTTCAGAAACTGTGAAATAGCTAAGATATAAGCGAAGAAAGAAAGTGAGAGTGAGATAATAGGCAATAGACCTTTATGCATAACATGTTGTCACCATGTGTGTGCCATTTAAGATTTGTTTTTTACTGTGAAAGGGATTTCGAGACCACATGATCATGTGGTCTCGAAATCCCTTTCACAGTAAAAAACAAATCTTAAATGGCACTGATAGTGTGATATCTAGTTTCAATACAGTCTAAACAACCTAGCTTGTGCATAACCTAATCCAGAATTACTTTCAGCCAGTATCTCTCACAGTGCAGTGCCATTACTAGAAATATAAAATAACTTAAAAACAGAACGTTTGCTTTGATAGTGAGTATAAATTTACCTCTTCTCTCTCTCTAAGTGAGAACCTTCCTGGTGTCTTCCATTGGTCCTGCAATTCAGCTACATTCTCCTCATCATCTAATACTCTACTCGTCACTTTCTCTGCTATGTTCTTCTTTGCTGTGGTGGTATCCGGGCTCCGCCATTCCTTGTACACATCCTCAACTAGCACAAAGCTAGAAGGATTAGCATCCAGTCGATGGGCCTTGGCCATCGCCTAAATATAGAGAATATGTAGATCAATACAGGCATCCAAAATGGTTCATTGGAATGTAATATACTAGTTACATTCATCTGTGATATTTTAGACCATCACATTTAAGCTATTATCCCTCAAATATCACCCCTACTCTTTCATCTCTGGATTATCACCCCTACTCTAGCACCCTTACTCTTTCATCTCTGGGTTATCCCCCCTACTCAATCACCCTTACTCTATCATCCTTGGACTAACATCTCTGGACAATAACCACTACTCTAAAATCAGAGTCATCCAAGATGGTCATTTGGATTTTAATATATTATTTATACTCATCTCTGACACTCTGTTGGTATAAATCTAGTCTAAATGACCCCTTGACAATAAACCATGGACTATCACTCTTGAGCTATCACTTTAAACTATCACCCCTCGAATATTGACCCTATATTCTTTCTCATCTCTGGGTTATCACCATTGCTCTATCACCCATGGACTCACTCCTACTCTATCAACCATGGACTCACTCCTACTCTATCACCCATGGACTCACTCCTACTCTATCAACCATGGACTCACTTCTACTCTATCAACCATGGACTCACTTCTACTCTATTAACCATGGACTCACTTCTACTCTATCAACTATGGACTCACTCCTACTCTATCACCCATGGACTCACTCCTACTCTATCAACCATGGACTCACTCCTACTCTATCAACCATGGACTCACTCCTACTCTATCACCCATGGACTCACTCCTACTCTATCAACCATGGACTCACTCCTACTCTATCAACCATGGACTCACTCCTACTCTATCACCCATGGACTCACTCCTACTCTATCAACCATGGACTCACTCCTACTCTTTCACCCATGGACTCACTCCTACTCTATCACCCATGGACTCACTCCTACTCTATCACCCATGGACTCACTTCTACTCTATCAACCATGGACTCACTTCTACTCTATTAACCATGGACTCACTTCTACTCTATCAACTATGGACTCACTCCTACTCTATCACCCATGGACTCACTCCTACTCTATCAACCATGGACTCACTCCTACTCTATCAACCATGGACTCACTCCTACTCTATTACCCATGGACTCACTCCTACTCTATTACCCATGGACTCACTCCTATCTATCACCCATGGACTCACTCCTACTCTATCAACCATGGACTCACTCCTACTCTATCAACCATGGACTCACTCCTACTCTATTACCCATGGACTCACTCCTACTCTATTACCCATGGACTCACTCCTACTCTATCACCCATGGACTCACTCCTACTCTATCACCCATGGACTCACTTCTACTCTATCAACCATGGACTCACTTCTACTCTATTAACCATGGACTCACTTCTACTCTATCAACTATGGACTCACTCCTACTCTATCACCCATGGACTCACTCCTACTCTATCAACCATGGACTCACTCCTACTCTATCAACCATGGACTCACTCCTACTCTATTACCCATGGACTCACTCCTACTCTATTACCCATGGACTCACTCCTATCTATCACCCATGGACTCACTCCTACTCTATCACCCATGGACTCACTCCTACTCTATCACCCATGGACTCACTTCTACTCTATTACCCATGGACTCACTCCTACTCTATTACCCATGGACTCACTCCTATCTATCACCCATGGACTCACTCCTACTCTATCAACCATGGACTCACTCCTACTCTATCACCCATGGACTCACTCCTACTCTATCACCCATGGACTCACTCCTACTCTATTACCCATGGACTCACTCCTACTCTATTACCCATGGACTCACTCCTATCTATCACCCATGGACTCACTCCTATCTATCACCCATGGACTCACTTCTACTCTATTACCCATGGACTCACTCCTATCTATCACCCATGGACTCACTCCTACTCTATCACCCATGGACTCACTCCTACTCTATCACCCATGGACTCACTCCTACTCTATCAACCGTATGCTATTGTCCTCAAGAGTCCTTGTAGCAAGGGATGGGTTATTTTTGTCTAGGGGTGTGATGGTCCAGAAGGTAATTGTTATGATATATACTTGAACATCTTGGATTCATAAGTTTCCATTACACATATGTCTTTACTATGATTTCAAATTCATGATGTAATTGTACCTGAGCTATAATATCTTGTGCTGTGCTGCTTGTAAGTGCTCTGAAGACAGTGTAAGGCTGGTCCTGAGAAACGTTATAGACCCAAACCAAGAAAGTCTTGTCACTACCATCACCGTCCATTGAAGTCCATTCATCAGAACGATGTCTCTAAACAAACACAACATCAAACAATGTTATAAGCTCATTACAGTTTGTGAGTCAATATACCATAACAAATCATTATCTTATATTGTATAAACATGATGTCACATCTCCACGATTTCTCTTTTCTGTCAGACAAATACAGGATGTCATTTTTACAAATAAACGGCAGAAACCTGCAAGAGCTCTCTGAGTAAAGTGCTTATAATGCTAATAAAATCCAGACTAAATTTCAAGTTTTTAGTTTCATGAGTTTCTGATTGGATGCTTCACAATTAGACATTTCCCACATCCTGATCATAGAGTACACAGTATCAATAGATTTTTTTTTGTCCAATATGTATCAGTGAAGACAAATATAACATTACAAGAACTGCAGTCACAACAAATTTAAGGCAGTCTTCTAAAGGCAGTCCAAGAACTAAGCTCAATTAACCCAGTGGCTACTAAACTCTTTCATTTGGACAACCTTTGATAGAAGAGCCACCCGGTTACCATAGACAATGGGTTCAGACTGAGCTAGATTAGACAAGGCATGTGTGAGCCGGGCATAGCAACTAGTAAGTAAGCAAGCCATCATAAGAAAATTAATCTCAGGTAAACAAAAAGAGGCCTGAAAAATGTACAGCATAAGACTCAACTCTGTTGATTAACACTAGAATAAAATGAAATACAATGATCATGAGGTAAAGGATACACATTGAAAATGAACATATCTAGATCTGTAAAGTGCATGAGCATGAAGTGTGCTTGACATATACATATATGTAGAGAATACTATAGAAATACATAACATTATGTGTTGTACATGAAGGACGGGCACCAAGAAGGAATGAAATACATACATGTACAAAACAGAATGAAGTCAGCTACCAAACATGAAATTCATGCTACAGGTACATGTGTAAGGGCACTTGAACAAAAAGAAAACATGGGGAATAATGACATTGCTGGCATGTTATTAAAACATTTGACATACATTAATGCCAATGCAAATATCTCTGTTCACTTGAAACACAGCTTGACAAAGAGAGAGAAAACAGTTTGTTTGAAGCCAATGGCATAAAGAAGATGATGAAAGAAGGATGAAATGAGTGGCTTTACCCGATACATTCTGTAAAACAAGGAACGGGGTGTTCGTAGAAAGTCGTAAGCTGACTGTGGTGATTGAACTTCCTACATGTAAGCATGAGAGGGATTAGTATAAGCCACAATTTTAGTATGAATGGTATCGCCAATAACATTCTTTAAAGTACAGAGCTCACAATGTAAGTATGAGATGGTTTGGCCAATAACATTCTTTAATGTACAGAGCTCACAATGTTAGTATGATATGGTTTGGCCAATAACACTCTTTAAAGTACAGAGCTCACAATGTTAGTATGAGATGGTATGGCCAATAATACTCTTTAAAGTACAGAGCTCACAATGTTAGTATGAATGGTATGGCCAATAACATTCTTTAAAGTACAGAGCTCACAATGTTAGTATGATATGGTTTGGCCAATAACACTCTTTAAAGTACAGAGCTCACAATATTAGTATGCAATGGTTTGGCCAATAATATTCTTTAAAGTACAGAGCTCACAATGTTAGTATGATATGGTATGGCCAATAACATTCTTTAAAGTACAGAGCTCACAATGTTAGTATGATATGGTATGGCCAATAACATTCTTTAAAGTACAGAGCTCACAATGTTAGTATGATATGGTATGGCCAATAACACTCTTTAAAGTACAGAGCTCACAATGTTAGTATGAGATGGTATGGCCAATAACATTCTTTAAAGTACAGAGCTCACAATGTTAGTATGCAGTGGTATGGCCAATAATACTCTTTAAAGTACAGAGCTCACAATGTTAGTATGAGATAGTATGGCCAATAACCCCGCCCACCCCTCCACTCAGTGTTATTTAGGGTACGCATATGCGTGTTCCAAGCGACACCCCCCCCCCCCCCCCCCTTTTCAGCAAAAGTCTGGTGTGTAAAGTCAATACGGGTCGACCTTTTTCTTTTGTTATACAAGCTTTTTTCAGCACCCCCCCCCCCCCTTTTCAGCAAAAGTCCGGTGTGTAAAGTCAATACGGGTCGACCTTTTTCTTTTGTTACGAAAAGGACATTTTGGTAACACACATGGGGTCCATCCGTTCTCGGAGTGGGGGGCCGGGCCAATAACACTCTTTAAAGTACAGAGTTCACAATGTTAGTATGATATGGTATGGCCAATAACACTCTTTAAAGTACAGAGCTCACAATATTAGTATGCAATGGTATGGCCAATAACACTCTATAAAGTACAGAGCTCACAATGTCTAAGAATACATCACACACTGCAGGCTTCCAAATGATTTCTTAAAACTGACACATTTTCAGTATAACAAGATTGATGCAATGCTATTATCTTCATTATGTTTCTTCCAAATACATGTATCAATATTAATGATACAGCCAGAACACAGTTACAAAAGCTTTGTGACAAAAAGGCAGATTCTTTGCAGAATGTGTAATTACATTTCTAACATATTCTATTGTTGATCCCATAGTACACATTTACATGACACTGAATTTTCTTAATGAGGTCAAAAACTACTAAATAATTAGGTATCAAAATAAACAAGTCAAAAGCTAAAAATGGGTATCAATCTTCATTATGCTACCCCATGTACTTTTTGACAATCTCTTTATAGTATTGTTCAAAGTATATCAGCTATATACAAACAATCTTGTGAAAAAAATGACTATAAATCAAGCAGACAAGTACAGACGATAATAATCTTCTATACACAATAACTAGTGTGATTCCTACCAGGATATCAGAATGTGATATTCACCTGCGGCAGATGTTTAAGGAGAAATCTGCCTTTTCCTGTCCAGCTTGCCTGAGCTTCCATCACTCTCTCATCTCCTTCTAAAATTCTTTCATCAGTTCTTCCTTCTGTTTCATCATCCCATGTCTCTTGTACCTCCTCCACTAACAGATAGTCATGCATAGACTCCAGAGGACGATCAGCTCGACCCATGGCCTGTACAATATTAACATAAAATAGTGTAGAGTTTAACTCATAAAGTAAAGAATTAGGCTAACACTCATGACCTGTAATATGGTAAATATTGACCCTTAATTATGACACGGAGAAGCCACTAACAGATCTCTGTCCCAAATCACTTTTTTTAACTCGGTAACTCTAGATCTTGGTTTCTTTACAGAAACTTCTTCAAGTTGTACATTATAAAGAATAAATATATCAGCAGATCAATAATAGTGCAACACAATTTTGCACTAGAAGAACCACTCCAAGCAGAGATAGATTTGTATTTCCTCATTGATAAAACAAAACAATCTAAGGTTATACATGTAGCTGATCTTAACATATTTAGAAACTGATTTGTGTTTACCTGTGCAACTATTTCATGAGCTTTAGTCTCTTGTGTTGCCTTCAAGGTTGTACTGTCCTCTCCATCCAGAACACTGAATACAGTCAGAGGAAACGCTCGTCTCTTCACCTCTGAACCATCAACCATCTGTATGCAACAACAAAGAAACAAAGAATGTGTAATGAAAGCTTTTTAATATAATGGGTGAACGTCATAAATGGTGCTTTCCAAGTGTAAAAGACACCTTGCTGTGATATCCCCCAGGAATGAAAAATGTAAATCGTAAATTCTATATGCACACTTTTCAACAATACAATGACTGGGATTTTTATTTATTTATTTTTAAATCAACATTGTTTTTGTTATTAGTATTAACATTATTCATTATAATAATAGAATTATAGATATATTTTATTAATAATAATAATCATTATTATTGTTACCTCCTTGAATTCCATCTTGATATCTGAGTCCTTGCCGATATGATAGTAGAGCATATTAGAAAGCATCTGCCTCTTACGTCTTGATTCATTGATGGCTTCAGTAGCTACATCTTGAATCTCCTCAAGATGAGTGTGAATGAAGAGAGTTGTGATCTCAAGAGGTATATTCTGTGATGATCGCAATCTCAGGTGTCTGTATCCTGTTAAATCAATAGCATTATCACCATCTTTATCTTCAACATATCATATTGAACAGTCAATAAATGTAATACTAGAATTTTGTGAGGTACAATACAATAACTTGAACAACCAAAGCCAATAACTAAAATTAAGATTGAATCCATCAATCAAGACCAATATAAAATGGAATCCATCAATTAAAACTCGATGGATTATGCACCACCTTCCACATTAATGATCAAGAGCTATACAGACCTTGTCTAAGATGAATTCACATTAATGATCAAGAGCTATACAGACCTTGTCTAAGATGAATTCATATTAATGATCAAGAGCTATACAGACCTTGTCTAAGATGAATTCACATTAATGATCACGAGCTATACAGACCTTGTCTAAGATGAATTCACATTAATGCTCAAGAGCTATACAGACCTTGTCTAAGATTAATTCACATTAATGATCACGAGCTATACAGACCTTGTCTAAGATGAATTCACATTAATGATCAAGAGCTATACAGACCTTGTCTAAGATGAATTCATATTAATGATCAAGAGCTATACAGACCTTGTCTAAGATGAATTCACATTAATGATCAAGAGCTATACAGACCTTGTCTAAGATTAATTCACATTAATGATCAAGAGCTATACAGACCTTGTCTAAGATGAATTCAAATTAATGATCAAGAGCTATACAGACCTTGTCTAAGATGAATTCACATTAATGATCAAGAGCTATACAGACCTTGCCTAAGATGAATTTACATTAATGATCAAGGGCTATACAGACCTTGCCTAAGATGAATTCACATTAATGCTCAAGAGCTATACAGACCTTGTCTAAGATGAATTCACATTAATGATCACGAGCTATACAGACCTTGTCTAAGATGAATTCAAATTAATGATCAAGAGCTATACAGACCTTGTCTAAGATGAATTCACATTAATGCTCAAGAGCTATACAGACCTTGTCTAAGATGAACCAAGGGAACACTCCTCTGAGCCAGGGTGCTAGAGCTATTGCTGTCTATGACTGTGAAACGGACAAACGCTAAGTCTTCAAAGGACACTTGGAATGTAAAGGTTTCCTCCCATATTGGGTTGATGCTGTTTCTTGAAGCGATCTTTGTTTTCCATTTGGCACAATCTGCAGGAATACCCATCACTTCAACCTCAACAAAGACACTTCCTAGAGGATTGGTAAGGCTCAGGAACTGTCCAGACACTATCTACTCCAAAGAAATCAAAACATAATACAAAATAGCTTCTTATTTTACATAAAATAGTCTTTAGTAAAACCATTGACTACTGAATTAATTTATGTATCAATCAAATATACTTGTTATATTCCAGTTTAACATAGAATACATTCATTACAATATAACACTGGTCAATGCTCTTTTCATTCCTTTTAATAACTTAGCTTGTAATGTACATATTTGTTCTTTAATATGCATGCCATCAAATGATCTCTTACCTGTATTGTGAGTTCTTTAATTGGCATGCCATCAAATGATCTCTTACCTGTATTGTGAGTTTTTTAATAGGCATGCCATCAAATGATCTCTTACCTGTATTGTGAGTTCTTTAATTGGCATGCCATCAAATGATCTCTTACCTGTATTGTGAGTTCTTTAATAGGCATGCCATCAAATGATCTCTTACCTGTATTGTGAGTTCTTTAATTGGCATGCCATCAAATGATCTCTTACCTGTATTGCGAGTTCTTTAATTGGCATGCCATCAAATGATCTCTTACCTGTATTGTGAGTTCTTTAATAGGCGTGCAATCAAATGATCTCTTACCTGTATTGTGAGTTCTTTAGTAGGCCTGCCATCAAATGATCTCTTACCTGTATTGTGAGTTCTTTAGTAGGCATGCCATCAAATGATCTCTTACCTGTATTGTGAGTTCTTTAATAGGCATGCCATCAAATGATCTCTTTCCTGTATTGTGAGTTCTTTAATAGGCATGCCATCAAATGATCTCTTACCTGTATTGTGAGTTCTTTAATAGGCATGCCATCAAATGATCTCTTACCTGTATTGTGAGTTCTTTAATAGGCATGCCATCGAATGATCTCTTACCTGTATTGTGAGTTCTTTAATAGGCATGCCATCAAATGATATCTTACCTGTATTGTGAGTTCTTAATAATAGGCATGCCATCAAATGATTTCTTACCTGTATTGTGAGTTCTTTAATAGGCATGCCATCAAATGACTTGTTGTATGCATTGAAGCGGTTGAAGGCTGGATGGTTCCTGTCCCATAGTATAGTAGGCTTCAGGACATAGCCACAGTTGCCAGTCCTTTCAAACATGGCAAAGTATGTCTGAAGACTGGGATCTGACAATGAAAAAAAAACAGTTGCTTACCGGTACATTGCATCTCCTAGAAATGTTGTTTTAATGAATTTGGTTTGATAACATCCTGAATAGCAGCATGTAGCCTGCCATGGTATTAACCTTGCAGAGATTTATCACCAAATACATAGTTCAATATCAATCACAATCATTCAGTACACTCCAGCTCTATACAAAACAATACAAAATCAAGTAAACAAAAAGATTCCCAATTGGTTTATATAAAAAGAGATTTACAAAATGCAGGCACATATAGAAAATAAAGAGACATACTTAGTGAAAAGACTCAAAGTTTAAGTTTATGCACTTCAATACTATTTGAAAAGAATATTTCTAAATAATTTGAAAAACCTCTTTACTCTTAGCAAACTATCATACAATCACAAATTTCCCAATCCATATATGCAAATTATTTCTTTATTCAGTCTTACCATCAGTTTGATAGTTGAGAGCAACAAGCTGAACTCCAAATGACCAGTAGATGAAAGGATTGTAATTAGAGGAATCAATCCTCATGCCGGCTGGATAGGTTCTCATAAGCTGATACTCAGTATGCGTGCACATCATTACAGTTAAAGATCATTCTTCTTAAACGTTGCAATACTCCTCCAATAAACAGATTTAAATAAATGGATTCTCATATAACTCTTTATCAAGATCTCTCATATATTAATGTGAATGATTTTTCAAGTTCATTTATGTAAACATTTCAGCTGGCAAACAGCACCACCAGAATATTGGAAGTATATGGTTGTATTGTCCCTCTAATTCATGAATTTGGGTTTTATCATTTGGGTGATATACAGCATTTTCTCAGGAAATCAAACTAGAAATCTTACTACAACTAGGAATATAAGATAGGTCATATCTAATCAAATTACAAGCAAAATCTATCTCTTATAAGTTCCATCATTCCCAAGTCTTTTAAAAGTAGCTCATACACACTATAAAGTTAAAGGATATTCCACAAATTTGGAGAAGTATTTCCTTGACATCCTCTTGAGGTTGCTCTCATTGACAGATGATATATGGAAGCACTTTGGTGTTTGGATGTAAGCTGTTAGTTTCTCTACTACAAGACCTTGTTGAGACTGAGATAACATTGTAGAATGCTGTAACTTTCTTTCATCAGGAGAACCATTCACCTGAGGACTTTCTTCAGAACCTTCAAAACAAGAGCAGATTAAATGAATATTATGTACACATTAGAAAGTAAAAATAGACTTTGAACTTCACATTTTAACTATTCATGCTTGTATCAAAATTAGGTCACTATATTTGATGCTGACCACACAAATATGTGTTTTTAGAATATTCTCAATGACAAAAATTATGAAAGCTGGGCCCCATTTCACAAAACTTTCATCAGTGACAAAAAACAGTTGTTGTTATAAGCTAGTGAAATCCTTGCTTCTGATCGGTTATCAGCAGATTTGTCACTGATTTTTGTCATTTGTCATTGTAAAAAGACTTTGTGACACAGGTCCCTGGTGCTGTTCTATTAAAAAGTACTGACAAAAAATATATTTTCAAAATTACAAATAAAACTAAAAGACTTTAACCTACTCTTTGGATTATCCTTTGTCACTGGTATGGGGCTATTAGAAGCACTGGTTTGAGTACTAGATCTGTTACTACGGCGACCAAGTTGTTTACCCTCCTTGGGTGTACCAAGAGTCGGATCAGTAGTGCTACTAAACCCTGGAAACTTGACTGCTTGGGTATAGATGACCAGGTCAGATAACTCTGGAGCTATCTGACTTGTTTCTTTCTTCTTCTTGTGTTTCACCTGTGCCATCTTGTAGAAGTCATCGCCATAGCTACGCTCTGTTCCAGTGAGTGGTATGATCTGAGTGCCACTGCCACTGCCACTTCTCCTGCACAAAGTTAAAATGCAATACGAACAAAAAAATGCATGCTGAAATTCCTTCATGCTTTCATTTTTTTTTTCATTTTATTTTACATTTAAATTTTAACTTTATGCCCATATTTATGTAGGTCATATTAGAACATGCCCTTTATTCAGAATGGAGAAATAAAATGGCATATATTCTAAAACTTTCTGTTTTTATGCTTGGATTCAAGTCATCATAAAACCATCATACAGGCACAGCGGAGCACCCCAATTTGCATATCATTAGCGGCCCGTTCTATTTGAATAACCAACGGACATCTGCGTGAATCCGAACATGTGTGTGCTAGAATGTCAAATCTTAAAATTCGCGTTGCGCCTTTATTACTGCCAATATCGCTATGAAACTTTCCATACTAACTAAAATTATTATGAATTTTATGTCAGTGAAATAAATACGAAATTCCATGGAATAAAACTCGAGATATTAATGTGTTTTGAGCTTCGCCCCTCGAAAAACACGACGTCTACTTTATAATGCGATGACCCTATCAAGCAATGCACGAAGTAGAGACTTGGTATGAATATTCATTAGGGTTAAATCCATACATGGGCGAAATTTTCGCTTCTCCGCTGTATTTTTTTTGGTTATAACGTTCTTTTTCATGGGGCTTCATTTTTAAAAGTTGTAGTCAGCGAACTCATTGAACATGACGTCATCGATCTCAGCGATGTACTGCGCATGCGTCTTAGGCCCAGTGCATGCCAGATCGAAACAGCTGAGCCATTAGCGTGCACGTGTGCAGTCGGCTGGCAAGACATGTATAGCCAACGCACACGCGAGGTTCAGACATGACACACATTTGAATGTATGGGACTGGTCAAACAATTTTGCGACAACGAAGGATTATTTTTGTTCGATGAGATTCGGACATTGGGGTATGTTTTTCTCTGAGACGACCCTATCAAGCAACTATGAAAAGAGATATTTCACAAGGATTGAGATTATTAAATTTTCTTTCTGTTCATACGAGGCAATTCTTTCTCGCTCTAAAAGAAATGGTGAATTTTACGGTGATTTTGTATCTCATTTTTTTCGTTTTTGTTCGTCAAAACTATCCCTTAAATTTCACATTTTCTGTGCATCAATAACTCTTTTTATACACATGAGTGTCTTGCAAATTTATTAAATACTCGATTTAGTAGCTTTGATTGGTGATATTCATCACATTAATGAAGAATTTGTCTTCGAAATTTGTTTACTTTTTTTCGCATCGATCGGTACACAATTGTTGATTTTATGCAAATGATGTTTACTGGACGAGAGTCGATCGCACGGTAATTGGGGTGCTCCGCTGTGCCTGCATAGTCTTACAAAGTTAGTATGATTTGCCAAGCTACATATAACAACCATTTCATAAAATCTCTCCATTACACGTTTGGCATGTACATGTATCTCAGCTAAGCAATCACTTGAGTGAGAGATCACGTTAGAACTCACTTATGCTTTCCATTAGTCATAGCTCCTTTGTAGCCTGCTTTAGTTTCATCAGGGACGGGAGGTGATTCTGAACCTTCTGATTGAGTAGATGCAAGGCGTCCTAGAGGTGGCTTCGAAAACTCCGCTGGGGTCTCTGAATTATTATCTGTAGTTTATAAAACATTGACATTCTAATTTACAACACATGAATGTTGATTAATAAACTCAGCAAGAAGTCACCTGTAATGTACAGATATATAATCTTCCAATGCTTTTAGCATGCCTACAACCAGTAATAATATATATATCTGTAAAGCGCTTTGAGAGGGCCTTCGGTTCTGAAAAGCGCTGTATAAGAACTAGCTATTATTATTATTATTATACACAACTATATATTAATTAAAGCTTTGTGATATCTATATCTTGTAGACAAATAATCATCAAGGCTGAACAAATGGGAGTGGTCTAATGCAGCATTTTTCAACATGTTTTATAGTCACAACACCCTAATCAAAAATAACAAGTTTTGTGTCACCCTAACGCCAATTTCATTACAGAAGATTCATGTTGCATCACTGCGGTACTCAACAAAGGACACTTGCGTATTAACAAAAATGCAAGTGAGCGAATTGAGCGAGCCAAAAAAAATGACATTTTTATTATGGTAAATTTTTATTTTGTAATCAAAAGACACACTGGATAAGATTTCAAAAAATATATATATATACGGGCACCTTATGAGTATGAGGATATGAGGGCATGTTGCTGCCCAGAATCATCCTGTTTTTAAGCATTTCATAGCAGGTGAAGCAAACAAGCGTCTTAAAATGCAATTTATATATAAATAAGTAATTATATATATTTGGGCTCCTTGCTTCCTGAATGTGACGACATTCTAGCACCTCTTTGCCTAAATACGAAGGTACATGTATTCAGGCACTTCCCTGCCTAAAAACATTTTTTTTCTAAATCTTGAGAGCGAGCAAGAAAAACTATTCATAATCATCTTAAAAATGTAATTCCTCATGAAAATACTAGGAAGTTTCTAATATTTCACTAAATTGATGTTCACTTCAGAATGGAGTAAAAATGGATCTTTCAGTAATTTCTCTGATGGCACCCCTGGAGATGTCTTGTGGCATCCCACAGTGCCACAGCACTCCAAATGGTTGTCCATTGAACCCATGCAGCCACACAATGTATCACAGTGCAGTAAAATCACAACACTTTCATTGATAATTGTATCCCGCATACAATGAGCAGTGTAACATCTTTCTTCCATACAGTACATGTATACGTATAATGCATCTTGTTTCTCATGGTTATATATGAGATGATTTACTGACTTCTTTGTAGTAATCCATAAGAAAAACAGACAAAACGTACCATCTACAGGTAGAACCTCTTCATAAGCATCCTCAAAGAAATCATCATCTTCTTCTTCCGAGATATCACCCATTGATACTGAGTTTGCTGCTGAACCTAACAGATCTACCTTAGAGCTCTTGTGCTCACTCACAAGCTGCATCACCTACATTCAAAATAGAAGAATATATCTATATCATCATTATCATTATATCATTACATCATCACCATCATTAGCATCATCATCACCATCATCATCCTCATCATTATAATCATCATCATCATCATCATCACCATCATCATCACCATCATCATCATCATTATAATCATCATCATCATTATAATCATCATCATCATCATCATCACCATCATCATCACCATCATCATCATCATTACATCATCCTCATCATTATAATCATCATCATCATCATCATCATCATCACCATCATTAGCATCATCATCACCATCATTATCATCATCATCATCATCATCATCATCATCATCATCATCATCATTATCATTATTATCATCATCATCATCATCATCATCATCATCATCATTATCATCATCATCATCACCATCATCATCATCAATAGCATCAATAGCATCATCATCATCACCATCATCATCACCATCATCATCACCATCATCATCATCATTATCATCAATAGCATCATCATCATCATCATCACCATCATCATCAATAGCATCATCATCATCATTGCCTCATTGTTATTATCATTATATCATCATCCTCATCATTATAATCATCACCATCATCATCATCATCACTATCATCATCATCATCATCATCATCATCATCATCATCAATAGCATCATCATCATCATTGCCTCATTGTTATTATCATTATATCATCATCCTCATCATTATAATCATCACCATCATCATCATCATCACTATCATCATCATCATCATCATTAACATTATCATCCTCATTTCTGCTTCACAAAGAAGAATGAAAGAAATGGAAAGTAGACATGGAAAGTGGGATAGATTAGCTGAGCAGAAAGAGTAGAACTTATCATACATTTTAATAGATCTATAGGTGATTATCCATTACCTACTGATCTATAAAGACTTTCTTACTATTCTTTCAAACAGATTAGGGATACACAACATTATCTGAGCAGAGGTTAACCAAGTTGTATTAGGACTCTCATTACAAGGACTGCAGGTATATCTAGTTGTCAACAATCATTTGTTGATTATTTGCAATTGCACAATATACTGAAATGTGATAGGAGGCTGCTTAGTAAAGGCAGGAAGTAAAACTAACCCTATGTTTCAATAAATAAACAGTTGGTGGTAAGCAATTAGCAAAGGAAAGTGGAAGAAGTAATCCTACATGTATATTTCAATAGATATTTATATAGATATACACATACTCGGGGGTGATAAGTAAATGAAATGGGCAAAACTTACCCTATGTTTGAGCAGGTCTACAGGTGCCTGATGAGCTTTGATCTTCTTGTTCTTGATGAGTATCTTATGTTTGAGTTGTTCTGGGCTTGGTAGTCTAGGGCTGCTACTGTAATCAGACTCAAACAAGAACTTGCTCACTAACTTGTCACCAAACACCTCCTGCAATCCAAGAAATATACATTGATATCATATTATGCATATGAAGCAAATTTCTTAATCATCTATGTCTACAAAATTTGCTCAATTTCTTAAACTCATGGAGCATATTTTTTTTCTGATTACAATTTCATTTTTATTTTTTCACTTTACCTGAAAGGGCATAGAAAACAAGAATGCAAGCAATTACATTTCTGTTATTTGTAGACTCTTACAGATGAACAGTGATTTGTTGTAACACTTCAATGTAAAATATTTCACATTATACAAACTTTATTTTGTCATTAAGAATAAAAACCGTCACACAAATGTTGATTCTGAAATAGTTTGTCAATCAGAAGTGAAAGAAGACCATAAATCATTAATGATGGGCCTTGATTTACATTTCAACTACTAATACAATATTGATTAGGAGAGGGCCGGTATTGAGCCCCTTGGCAATGTCATATGTACATCAAGTCTGCTAAAGAGGGATTATCATCACAGGAAGAAGGACTGCATGCCTTGATATTTGTTCTTCTTTTATGAAGAAAAATACTATATACATCAAACATGGTCATCATAAATGAATAAAATAGGGAAGAAAAGTGATATTCCACAGCAAAATATACATATCAATAATTAAAAGGAAACTGAGGGACTCCATGATAAAATGTATCAATGAATCAGAAGATTTTTGATTAGACACAAAACAACTACAGAGAAAGAAAAAAGTAGGACTATCATGAGAAAACAACAGAGTTTCTGTTATTGTAAAATCATTGTTAGTTATAAATTCATGATATGATGATGAATATAATCCAATCCTTGAATACATTTATATAACAAAGAAAGATACAAAACATTGAGAAAGAGAACTTACAGTGAAGATCTGAGCCATCTTGGTCTGTTGTTGTAGGGAACAATGATTCTCAACAGAGAGAATGATGGGATAGTCACTGGCAATGAATGCTGATCTGTTGATAGCTTCTACCACGTCCTATAGTATGAAGGAAAATAAACATAGTGAGAAACAATGAGACAGGCGAGTAGGAATGGTGAATTTTTTTAAAGTACTAATAAAAGACAATGGTAAATATTTTTTTTCAAATACTAATAAAAGACTTTTTTAAAGGAAAAAGAGCAAGTAAAAAATATGATTGAGTTGGAAGAAAGGAACAAGAGGAAACAAAAGAGAGAGAGAGAGAGAGAGAGAGATAAAAACATCCAGATTAGAAGACAAAATAATAAGAAGAAAAAAAATAGAAAAAAGAACATTAGTAAAGAGAATATGAGTTAAGAAAAAAAGAACAATAAGAAACAGAGAAGAATGGATTAATTACATTTTCTTCTGGATTGTCAGTTCAAGCTTTATTTGACAGACATGAATACACGTTTTATTGCAACATAAAGCCTATTAACTTGAACACAAAATTAACCATTGAGTATAAAATGAAAGCTTTATCTCCATTTAGCCTGTATTCAATGAGTTAAATCCCCCACAACTAAATATCTTCCTAGCATCCAATCTTTGATTACCTTGAAACTGATCTTTGAGGTCAATGTATGTCCATGATAGATGACCGGTGAACCATCATCTCCATCCCAACAATCTAATTCAACACATCGACAACCCGTCAGTAAAACCTAGACATTGGAAGGAACAAAACACATCATTCAAATTATCTCCATCTTAACTTATTCACTGGGGAAAAACATAGAATTAAATCCATCATCTCTATCCAATTTCAGTATAATCTAAAATATTGGAAAATGATGCATAGAATTCAAACAAAGGCCAAGGAAAAATTGATGAAATTATTTAGGGAGGGACAACAGAAGCTGCTGGAAATATAAAATGTACCGAAATTATTATCGATGTAGGTGCTACATTGAAAGACTATGCAGTCATGTTGTTGTTCTTCTTCTCTTCTTCAAAATAATCTGCCTCCTTCAATACTGAAGATTCTTGCAGATGCCGTATACTCGGCCTGATTGGGGTGTGCAGGTGGACCATTACACCGGGGTTTCCCCCTTCTCTAATACGAATAGTGCAATGGGTTCTTAACGTGCAAGGGTGGTGACTCGAGTGGTGAGTAGAGTTGTAAAGCCCTATTCATACTGACTCACTCTGAGCTGGCTTTAATACCTGTGAGTAGAGTTCTAAAGCCCCATTCATACTGACACACTCTGAGCTGGCTAACCTGTGAGTAGAGTTCTAAAGCCCCCTTCATACTGCCACACTCTGAGGTGAGTAGAGTTCTAAAGCCTCATTCATACTGACACACTCTGAGCTGGCTCACCTGTGAGTAGAGTTCTAAAGCCCCATTCACACTGACACACTCTGAGCTGGCTCACTTGTGAGTAGAGTTCTAAAGCCCCATTCATACTGACACACTGTGAGCTGGCTAACTAGTGAGTAGAGTTCTAAAGCCCCATTCATACTGACACACTGTGAGCTGGCTTACATGTGAGTAGAGGGTTAAAGCCCCATTCATACTGACACACTCTGAGCTGGGTCACATGTGAGTAGAGTTCTAAAGCCCCATTCATACTGACACACTCTGAGCTGGCTAACCTGTGAGAAGAATTGTAAAGCCCCATTCATACTGACACTCTGAGCTGGCTTACATGTGAGTAGAGTGTTAAAGCCCCATTCATACTGACACACTCTAAGCTGACTCACCTGTGAGTAGAGTTCTACAGAGGATTCACCTCTCAGTTGATGCCCAGTGAGGTACGTGTTGTGAGAAGAGGAAATATAGTAGTGAGATAACGGGTGATTGAGCTCCTACAGGGAACAATAAGAATAAAATCATCATTCCATCATATAAATTGTAAATTGATATTCATCTAACAAAATAATTCCTTTATCAATTGAAAAGAGATGTTCATACGGGAATGCATACCTGTTTGCATACAAAATACTGTTCAAACATTATAATGCATACCTGTTTGCAAACAAAGAGCTGTTCAAATATTGGTTTGCATACATGTTTACATACAAAGAGATGTTTACACATACGGTACATATTTACATTAGAAAAGGCTGTTCATACTAGAATTCCTACCTGTTTACATACAAAGAGCTGTTCATACTGGAATGCATAGTTGTCTTGGTCCATCAAGTAGCGGGCGAATCCTTCAAAGGTCAGGCACTCTAGTTCTCTTATGGTCAGTGAGGGTTCATGCCGCTATTGGGGACAACAAGGACAATATTAGAGGTCATATGTCTGGAACTCGGCTTACACGCACAAATAATAACTAATAAAAATGGAATAACATTTGTATGTAAATACATGTACCTAATTCAATCCCATATTAGTATTCTTATGTCTCAAAAACAATGTGAAGCATTATAATCATAACCTTTGTGGCACGCTCGATGATGGAAGAGTTTATTTAAAATCCCACTTAATATATTCATATCTACCCCAGATAGTAGCTCCATAGAAATCTTATATGACTACACTATAAATCTTATATGACTACACGTTATATTTTATATGACTACACTATACATCTTATATGACTACACGTTACATCTTACATGACTACACTATACATCTTATATGATCACATATTACATCTTATATGACTACACTATACATCTTATATGACTACGCTATACATCTTATATGACTATACTATACATCTTATATGACTACACTATATCTTATATGACACACTATATCTTATATGACTACACTATATCTTATATGACTACACTATATCTTATATGACACACTATATATATATATATATATGACTACACTATACATGTACATGAATTAAACCAGACACATAGACAATGAAATTCCACTTTCCTCCCCAATTAACTTGAAAACTAAGTGACAATAAATTAAAATTGTCAATTAGAAAAGGATTAAATCCATTGTTCAAAACCTGTATTTTATTTCATTCATTTACTTTCATTTAAGTTATCTATACAAACATCTGAAAACACATTAATAACAGTTAAAAACGATCAATTAACACTCATTTTGTAGCATTACATGCCAAGATTCTAAAATGTAAACACTAAATTAAACAATAAATAAAAGGAAAGAGGGAAGAAGACAGTCAACCAAATGGAACTATGCTGGGCCATGTAGAAAGTCATATACCTTTACAACAATGTGCTAATTTATCTGATTTAGCCTCACACTTGTGATATCCCTTTATGACATAAGATAGAAGATAGAAAGAGAAAGATGAAGAGGGGAGCAGAGAGAGAGAGAGAAAAAAAAAGAGAACTATACATCCTTCTCTGCTCAAGTCTACTTCAGTAAGCACTCAATATGTCTCTTATAACTGACAGCTATAAAAGCTTTTTAATGCTCTCAGTTAAAGACAATGAACATTCATAAAGCTTTCACATTATCAACATCATTTCAGCCATGTTGCGCCATAGATCTGAAAGCATGCATTTAAGTAGAACCTATCTAAAATTGTATTTCAGAAGACATTCAAGGTTTTTTTTTAGAATGACAAATACCTTTGAAGGTTTCATATCAAGAAATGATGCACATTTACAGCAAACTTACAACCCTTATTAGAAGCATTATATCACATACTGCTATTATAACACATCTATGTCAAACATATAAAAAGAAAGCACTTTATGTTCATATCATCACATAACAGAGTCAATCATTTTCCTTATTAAGTCAGTATATATATTAGAAAGACTTCTAGTAGTGTGTAAGTATCTTTAATCTGTATTCTGTCAAGCAAGACAAAGGAGTGGGAAAGACCGCAATCTTTCAACCACAGACCCTTGGCATTTCATCCTAGGAATTGAACTACCATGAATTCCATAGAGTCTTTGCCTATTTTACTATCTTTCAAGCATTCAACTTTTCCTTGTGAACATGAGATTTGTACAGTGTACGTGTATGCATGTTTTAAGGGTTTTCCTCTTAGATATTATAACTAGCAGTATTGCTACACACCGATATCCTCTAACCAAAGAATTATATAAATATTACATCATAATCAAATTCTGGTAATTTATTTCTCTCATATGCATAAACGATCTTCTGGAATGGATTCCTTAACGCACTTCTTTACTGGTGTCATTTGCATTATAAATATGTCCTCGACATAATTTTGTTGCATTTAAAATCTGGCCTCAACATTATCTTATTGCTGTTAGTATATTCTCCTCACAGAACACAAGTGAGCTCATGGAAAGGTTGGGTTAGGAAGAGACTGTGATGGAAGTGGTAAAGAGAAGTGGATTGAGATGGATGGGTCATGTTTAGAGAAGGAAAGATGATCAACTTGTAAAAAGAGCATGTGATCTGGAAGTGGATGGCACAAGAGCGAAAGGAAGATTTCATAGAAAGATATGGTGAAGAGAGAAAGCAGTAAGGCTGGTCTAAATGAGGAGGATACTCTAAACAAGAAGTGGAGAGAGAGAGTGTCATTATGGCATGAAAGTCAGTACCGGTAACCCGTCATAAGAGGGAAAAATGCTGACTTTAATAAATGATAATGATAGAGTATATAGTACAACCCAATTTACATGTGCATGTTAGTGGTGATCAAACAAAGCTTTCAAAAATTTCGTCTAGATCCTTTCTACATGCAATCACAGACTGTAGCAACCTTTCTCATCATTCTAACTGAGTAGGTGGTTTAATGTCAAATTCCAAGAAGGCAGATTCATGGTCTGTCTGCCTGTCCCACATACAAGAGAGACCTTCACTAAACACTACGCTTGCTTGATCATTTGTGCCATGAAGCATGACATAATCTGAGAAACAAGACAAAATGTTTTCTATTCACACCTGAATACACATCCTGCTCATCCATCTTTATTCATCTCAGTCTGCTCATAAGAAATCTGATTCTTCTCGTTTCATTCATTTACTCTTCTTTCACCTCACTATCCTGTTTTCATTCTCCATTTTTGTTTGTTGCTTTGGTTCCATCTCATGATCTGCCTGATCAGGCTCGTACGCAGAGGGGGTTGATTTTTTTTTCTCACTTTCATACTCTCTTCCTCTCTCTCTCTCTATCTCTATATTTCTCCCTCCCAACACCTTTCTTCTTACTTTCTCACTCTCTTTCTTCATTTGTCATCATGTATACTCTTATATACTGTCTAAAACTAGCTTTCTCCAACCTCTTAGCTCTTTCATCTCACTTTAATTTTATGTAGCTGTAGTAAAGGGTTTCTAGGTTCATGTTAGTCCACATTCTGTCCTTTTTTATTTATATTTTTATCATCTATGTCCTCCTCCCTTACATGCAACCCATACAGACCAAGCTACCCCCGAAAGTACATCTGTCAAAAAAAGCCCGGGGTAGAGAATGAGAGGCAAGGACTGTCTCCGTTTCTCAGCTGATTGGGCGTGCAAGACGGAAACAGTCCAGGCAGTGGACTAGGTACATGTAGATACTGTGATGTAGTGAATATATTAAATTCTAACCAGGCAGCCATACTGCCTAATTTCTGCAGGTCAGAAGAAAGTATGAGTACTTGTAGTTTCATGTAAAACCACTGCTTTGAATACATATTAGATCAAGTATAGATCAATTTAGCCATGATGAAGGAATATCATAACCTGGTGTGTGCCTGCCCCACTTAGATTAACAGAGGAAGGATGAATGTTCATTACAATAAACAAGTAATTCATTGAATGTTCCTATGAATAACATTTAACACAAATTTAATAATAATACTAATATAATACTAATACTAATACATGCAGCACACTTGTATAGCACATATCCCTATGTGCTATAATGGAGAGAAGAGATGATTGTAAGAATTTTATTTTGTACCACTTGAAAACTGACAAAATCATGAACCCGCTAGAGCAAACTTGTAAGATGAGATAGGTTAAACAAGGCTATCACATCAATTAAATCTATACAATGAGGGTCCTTAGAGTAAACAGACTAGGGGAATAAACCACTCAACTTTCTTATGTCAGATCAATTTCACGCCCACATGTTGCCCTTTCAAAGATGTATCTATGTAATATTTTAATCCATCTTCTGTCCTACAATATACTGCTTCTCCTCTCAAATCTTTTCTTCATCTTCCATCTCTCTTTTTCTCCCTTTCTCTCTCCTCTTCCCCCCCCCCCCCTCTCTCTCTCTCTCTCTCTCTCTCTTTCTCTCTTCTCTCTCTTTCTTCTCCTCTCACATCAGCGAAGAGCATAACAAAAACCAAAAAACATTAGTAACATTCTCCAATTTTCCATGTTGAGTGAACTAAAATACAGTTCATCCTTAAGGCATTTGACTCCAGTTCCACTACTACTACTAGAAAAACTAATTAATTTGGTATTCATGAGGGAATTCCTGTCACAGGATATATTTGCCATATACTGAAGAGTCCTTCATCACTGTCATAACTACTTTAATCTAATATTTTAGAAAATATGGTAACCCTTGGCAACTATTTTGAAAGGCACAAATCGTTTCAACAACAAAAATAACAGAAGCCAAATTGTGAATTGTTATTTAACTGTTTTAAAAATTGTAATGCTTTCTTTTCAGTTTCAATAACATGTGTAAATTTTTAAGAAAGGTACTTCAGTTAAGAATGGTAAGGAATATAATTGAATTGAAAGCTGAAATGTGACTGACCTGTATAAGTTCACTGACTTCCTCATCAGTGAGTTCCATACCCTGCTTTGTGCTGAGGAATTGTTTGAATCTTTCCTGTGTGATTACATGTGAAGTGACTGATTGTGTCCCAGAGCTATTGGTTTGTACGCTGGCTGCAGCAATGGCATTCGTCACTCTACGTGTTGAATCCGGCACCAATGGTGGGAAGGAGTTTCTCGTTAGACTGATGACTAGGGACAAAAATATAGTAATCTTACTTGATGTTCAGAACAAACAAAATCACCCAAACCAATTCCCAGGAACAAACTGCACAAACTTGCATTTTGGGGGTACTTTCACCATTAAAAGTAGGATTTTGAAAAAGAAGAGGCATGCACATCAAGTGCCCCAAAATATTATTATGGTAGTTGACTAATAAGAAAGCAATCAGATTATAAGATAGCTTACAATGATCATAACAAATCCAATTAATCATCTGTCATGTAACCTTACACCTGCTGATCAAAGCTTTGAAGAAAAGAATGTTTATAATCATAACTGCTCAAAAGTCAAATAGTTAAAATCCACAAATCAATTTGAAAAAAATGCATATCAGCAGGAATTTGTTTTTCCTTGAGTATGTTTAATATTTCATAAATACTTATAACCAAATAGTAACATTTCATTGGAGAACTACATGTACAAGTTTTGATCCTCAGGTCATAATCATATCACAAACACTGTCAATGTAGACAGAACTCATTTACACAGCTTCGATACCAAAAATAATAGAATTTGGGGATGATTAAAACCTTATAAAGAAGTCCCTTACCTCCAATCCCTATGAAGCTAGTCTCTTCTACCTGACTCACAGAGCGGTTACCATGGTAATAGATCTCTGGTTGCTTGTCTCTTGAGGCATCTTTGTAGGTATTGTAAGGCAAAGCGTAGGTATCAAAAATATCCTTCAATTCCTTTCTTGAACACACACTAAATGATTTGAACAGCTCCACAAATTCTGGAATAAAACGGAAATGGAAAATTAGTAATAAATATGTGTACAAATATACTAGACAGGAATATGTATACATGTAGTAAAAGATAACTATGACTCTCATACTTCTTAAGCTATTAAGAAACATGTATAAACTTGTACTAGAAGCATAAATTCAATTATGTCTGAACTCTTTCTTACACAGTAAGTCTAAAATCATCAAAAACTATTTCCATAGATTGGCAGCCTGCTTCCACCCATGTCAATTACTTTTGCATACACTGTACTTGTATAAGTAATTACATCGAATAAATCTAATAATTAGACTTAGAAGTAATTTATGCAGTAAAAAATATCTTTCACCATTTTTTATATCTATATTTTGTCTTCAAAGTTACATAAGAATTCAATGCTACTTTTAATCATATTCTCATACCATCTAAATAAAACAAATAAAATTGTAAACATTCATAGCATCATGCCTGTCAATCGAAGGGTTGAATCATCTTACCTATGAAAGACAAATTACTGTTCATTGTAAGAGACCTCTGACCATCACAACCAATAGATGAGCTGCTCCGCTTCCTACCAAAGATATCATGTTCAGATGGCACTTGAGCATCGTCAGTGGTCGGGGTAACAGACAGCAATGTATCATCATCTTCAAAAAGAAAAGAACACAGTCATCAAAGTTAGACAGACAGCAAAGTATCTTCATCTTAAAACAGAAAAGAACACAGTCATCAAAGTTAGACAGACAGCAAAGTATCTTCATCTTAAAACAGAAAAGAACACAGTCATCAAAGTTAGACTACTACTTAAACCTATGAAAATTAGAAATGTTAAGTCAATGCCTAGCATTTATCATGAAGAAGTTGATTTTCAAATAGAAATATATTTCTGTACTTTATTGTGACATTACAACGATAAAACAATTAAAATCTTTCACTTGCATTTGAATTATGTTAATAACAAATTGAAATCATCAGTAAACATAGAATAATATGTAGAATGGCATTATTACTGCTGCATGACCTTCACTGTTTAAAACCATCATACTTGCTCTATCTAGCACACGCTGATTTCATAGTATCACTTAATATTTTACAATTAAGATTTGTTTTAGAAATGGATATATTATAGGAATTAACAGTACGGTCCAGGGAAGAATGACTTTAGGAAGGCAAGACAATAAAACAAAATAAGTCCTGACGATACAACAATATGGCCTTAAAAAAAAAAAACGACCTAATTATTTATTTTACAATGAAATACCCCTGTCTGTCTAAAAAAATAGAAAATGAATCTACACGAATCAGTGCAATATTGAAAGGAAGTTGACTTACTGCTGACTGAGACATCAACAAGGGGAGTTCCTTTAACTGTCCCATTCTCATTGACATCCGTGGTCTGACCTCCAACAAAACTATTGGTATCTCCATCCTGCATACTGCCCCCTAGTGACAGCGTTGAGACATCAATGGTATAGGCACGCTGGTGTACCTTCTTACGACTCTTGCTTCGTAGACTCTTCCGTGATCGTCTGCCCAAAGGCGAACCAGGGGTTTCGATGCTCTGATATTAAAAACACAAATTCACATTATACATAATTGTGATCATTTTTTTATTCAAACCCTACAGTATTTTTAACCATGTAGCAAAAAAGCACTGAAAAAAGATATTTACAATAAGCTCATGACAATTAACAACTTACTAAAATATGTTTTTTGTCTAAAAAAATTAATCAAAAAGTATCTTTAACTTCAAAATATAAAGTCTTCCACCATGTACTCATCCAAGCAAATTGATCACAAGAATGAAATAGAACAAGTGTGAAATTACATTGCCATCCATTTTACCCAATCATGCATCACACCTTACATAGCATTGAATAAGAAGATTTATTGACCTATTTTTCAAACTAATCCTCAGATGAATTGCAGCTATGAAATGTCAAACAGACCTAAGCTATTTTCATTCTATCTTTGTGGAATGAATGCACCCACTAGCTTAGCTGGGAGCTAGGAAGAGGGGCAAAGAAAAACTACCTTCAAACCATCAAAATGTAACTGGAGAGATACCAGCTGAACAGGGAATTGTAACGTCAGATCTCAAATTGTGTATCACTCAATTATTTCACGCTAGCTTCTGTATCACACTATTCCAGTAGTATATTGCTGTAAAAATGAGAATATCCCCTACTCTTCTTAAGCCTTTCCAAATTTAGTTTTGTTACAAAATTGAATGATCCCTAAACCTCTACAATGTTGTCATGACATGATCTTTTAAATGCAATATATTACAGCTTCAAATAAAGTGAAACGATTGTATAGTCTTTACAGCACACAAAGAATGATGTATATCACAGATGTAATAGCGAAATAATTATAGATAAAAAAGTTATGACAGAGGATAAACAAAAATGAGATTGAGAAGCATACCTTGGTGGAAGATTTCCTTCGTAGCATGATTCTCATAGGAGTCTGTATCATGAGTCTATCCAAGCTGACATTCTTAGTATCTGTATCGGTACTACTCTGTCTTTCTGTCGATAGTTTCTTCATGGCAGCATTCTTACCCCCAAACACCTACATATAAAATATCAACATCATATTGATATATGCACTCTGTTATAAATGAACAAATTTGCTTCTCTTTGAACACAGATTCTTTGTAATCAAATCTTGTTAATTTCTTAATTCTTAGTTTTTTAATTTCTATACTTTATTTATTATATACCATAAAGGATGTAATGATACAAATATGGCAGAGACCATTTCAACTGTAATAACACTTTAGTTGCCTACTTCAGCTCTCTGCCCTTTTGCTGGTTTGCCACATGAGTATAAAACACTAGGCATCAACTGATGGAAAGATTGCCTTGTGTAACACAATGGCTTTGCAAAATTACCCATTTCATGTCTTCATTAGTTAGCTCCATTATAACCCTATTAACACCAATGTAGATTACTACTGCACTGGAAACAATTAAATAATATTGAAGCCTTTGGTATAACTATGATGAATACAGTGTGGCACAGGGATATTATTTGTGTGGCATATAAGGAGTTCACAAAATATGTCTTTCATGATGTCCTTATTCTTATCTTTAAATACTACCCTTTATCTTGATTACTTAAGCATTTTGTTTTCACATATTTCCCAAGATGATTAAAGATAGTGCTGTAGCCGAACCGCCGAACCGAACGGAAGTTCGCCGAACATGGCACTTCCGAACCGAACCGAACCGAACCGAACGTAAAGGCCGAGTTCGGATGTTCGGCAGAAAAATGTGAACGTTTTTGCAAGCTAATAAACTTGTCATTTTGTACCTAATTTTCATGTCATGATTGCTCATTTTATATTTACTTTTTTCCCATTTTCCGCCTTTGTGATTTATGCCTATCCAGTGGTGGGCGCGACTTCACTGGCACCATTTAAATCCCAAATCCTGACCACGCTACGTCGCGATCGCAAGCCATAAACAAGAATACATGTGCGTGATCAAAACAATTTGAGCTCAAACCCATTCAACAAAAAATTAATATTTTAATTGTAACAATATCGGACAAATTTTATAATATAAATAATGAAATAAATATAGTATGGTTTTGATTTATTCAGGAAAAAAAGGGATTTTATATTTTTCCTATTGAAAATAAAAACTTATAAAAAACAGTTATTGACGAAGCCTGACTTTCTATTCAAAGATGGCAGCTTTCATGACTCTAACATTAGACAACAACCGTCTCGGAAAATTTTTGGAAAATATCATTTATTGACAAATTGAAAACATGATTCTTTTAAAATTGAAAATAAAACACGATTCAAGACGGAAATACGAATGTAAGTAGTATTTTTCTTCACAAATAATTACGTTTAGAGCAGAGGTCCTCCGTGCTGGTCGGGCCCGGCAGGCCAGCCGGCCCGCCCAGTGCCGACCGCCGTGGCTTATAACGCTGTTTGCTATTATATTACCGAACCCCTAACCGAACCAAGTTCGGGTGAAAAATTGCTGAACTCTGCCGAACCGAACCGAACACGAACATAGCGTCTGACTTACAGCACTAATTAAAGATGAGACTTACCTTCACAGCTTCCAATGGTGTAGGTCCAGCACATCTAGCGGCTTCAAAGAAGAGATTCATATATTCTCTCTGGAGCTTCTGAAGTCTCTTATCCATAGCACACTTCTGTAATGCTTGTGAAGCTCTGATCACCATACTCAATCCTTGATGCCACATAGATGCTGTCAAAGCAGGCACACAAAATGAGAGTACTCTGTTATCAGTGATTCCTGCACCATACACGATACTGATACAACTCAACTCTTCCTTGTTAGATGGGGACAGTGTCATGGGAGCATCCGTCTTCCGAGGTGAGACCGTTGCAGAGGTACCTGTGCTGGAGGAGGCTGATTCTGTAGTACTTCCACTTTTCATCGAGATAGATTTGGCGTAGCATAGATCAAGGTAGCCTCCATCCAAACTACTAGTGTTTGCTGGGTTTGAGGAATGATACTTGGTACACAACATGACGCTACAGATCATATGAAGATCTAGATCCTCTTCTCTAGGACTCTCAACAGACTTAGCCCATACAATGATTGCATTGCAGACATCTAGTTTCATCAAGCTCATTACGTTGCGTCCTGAACAGTCTTCATCAAAGAGGGATACACATGACCCATGATGCATGAATTGTAGTGTATGAAGATCTGAATCAAAGAGCTGATGAGGTATCATCTCAATCCCTGTAGGGTTAGCTATAGCTTGGATAGGTTCATAGGGTGAAGAATCTTCACAGCATGTCACGAAACTCAAGTCTGATACATCACTCTCACTAGGAGTTGACCTGCAGATAGAGATTCAGAGGAAACATGTCAGTTGGAACAAAACAAAATAGATTACATTTTATCTTTGTAGAAATAGTCTTTAATGTTTTAGAAACAGCAATCATACATTGTATATATAGGTGTGAATAAACATGTATTTATATACTGTATATAATAACAAATGTCATAATTTTTCTATACACTGTACATTTTTTTCAACAGGTCAAGTATTTATACATAGAGAAGAGTTATTTCTGATTTTTTTAAGGTGACAAACAGCCTTATCTAGTGTCTAACCTTTAAAGTTAGTCATCTAGCAATCAAAATTTAAAATGAGCATTTATTGACGACATGCAGCAATGAGACAAAATCATTTGTAAACTTATTTATAGTATTCTCTCTCTCTCTCTCTCCCTTTCTCTCTCTCTCTCTCTCTCTCTCTCTCTCTCTCTCTCTTCTACTTCTTCCACACAACATCTATCATATGACTTTCAAATGGTCATTGATCAAATTAACCAAAAGATCATATTTCAACTGCTGCTAGCCTTAGAGCACCACACTTCTAAACAGAGCATATAATGAATATTCATGCTATAAAGCTGAGTGGCATAGCCACGGGCTACAAATGAAAATGACGGTGGAGTTGGCCCTTTCACCTCATCCATGATGTAAAGGTTAAAACAACAAAGATGAAGAAACAAATCTAGAGAATTTTACATACAAGTGCTTTCACAAATCATTTAATGTGTGATTACTTCAAAGTTTGGTGTTCTTTAACATTTCACATAACAAATATAGTAATTACTTAACATTAAAAAATTTGGTTTACTAAAAAAAAATCACACACACAAAATGAACGGCACCAGCCAAATAAAACAATAATATTTCATAATTTTTTTTTTTTTAAACATCACCTTATTGTTCAAACTTGCACAACAAAGGAAAACAATAGCCCAGGACAATTCCATTTTACTGGAAAATGCAGGGCATTACAAGTACATACATGTAGATATACAGTGAATAATGTTATATAACATCAACAAAAATTAACTAATTTTACAACATAGTGAAGACTGAGGAGTTATGGATATTCCTAGCTATAGATGAAATAAGAGGAGCTAAATATTGAAATTTCATTTGATATATCAACTTAATAAATACGAAGCATACATAATGAGTATTATAAGAGTTTGATTTGAGTTAATGTTTAATACTAAGAGGATTCTATCAGTGCCATGAAAAGAGGCGAGCAGTAGAAAGAAAATATAAGACTGGTTACAAGGTGTAAACCAATTTGTGTGTGTGAGTAATTACATACTTGAAATGCGAAGGGGAATTTTGGTTTCCCATTTATTTGCATTCTTTGAGTAGTAGATGACAAACGAAGAAACAATAGATATATAGTTTGGATAGACTCTGTCAAACTTGTTTCAAATTGACAGGTTTTCCAATTTCTTTCAACAGCTGCTTTAGCCTCATCACATTGTCTGGCGAAATATGACCTCTAGAGCCGATTTCCAAAGGAAGATACACCACAGAATATCCATTAGCCTGTATATCGGCAACTAACGGGGCATATTTGTTCTATTTATATTCATGTGCCTTAACTACATTCATTTCAAAGGGAACTGACAATTCAAGTATGAGGATTTTCTTAAAGTTCTTCCAAAAGACACAAATGTCTGGGATGAGGTTGGTTTGGGTACACTCTAGTGGAGTTGTGGAGATGCCTTCTTTTGTCCATCACTCTACTTCTTTATCTTATTATTTTGGGTAGAAATATTACTTCTTTTCTTTTATTCTAATCATCTTGAGGCTATTACACTTTTGAGTGACTGTTTTAATGATGAAATCAAGCAGATAAGAAAGTTTACTAACTTATTTTCTGGAATGGTCCCATCAACTTCCTCTCCAGATCTCATTGCCTTGCCTATCTCTAGACACAGTCTGATGTCATTCAGTACCCAGTTAGCTCTGTACATCTTATCTGTGTTGATCAAACCTGTTGCTGGGATGGAAGTTGGTAGACCATCGGACCTCTCATTACTATTCCACAGATAATCACCAAGCTGTGAAAAAAGAGAAATGTAGTCTGATAGAATAAAAGATGACAAAGGAGGAAGGCACAGCGTAGTCATTTTATGTAAAGGGGCAGTATGAACATATGAGTTTAATCTTCAAATATTCAGAAATAGTGAAGAAGTCAGGATTTTAATATTCCTCTCAAAATATAATGGTCATATTTATAAAAAAAAATAATCAAGATTTGTATATCAAAGATCTATGTAAAATTGTACAAAAAAGCACCTTCCAGATAACATAGCAAAACATTGAATTCTGTGTTTCCTCATTCTTTGGCGCAAAACAAAAAAAAAATGTAAAAGAAAAAAAGTATAGTTCTTAAATCCCAAAGTCTAGTTCTAGTGATATCAACATCAAGGATCTTATCAATAACCTCTGTCAGATACAGACATGTATAATCATTTTCATTCTACTATAATGCTTCCATGAATATAAACTGCATGTATAACTCTAAAGGTAAATCATTTGCCATTGGCCTTTTTTTTACCAACTCATTATTTATTAAGTGTTTAGCACCCATCCATCATGACTGTAAGATATCAAACATAAATGCACTGTCTCATCCAATATATTAACTAGTTGCAAGAAAAGTATTCTGGAAAAGAGAGCTTTCTGTCTCACTAACAATCTAGCATGCTGTCTTCACCTTACAAAGGTCAGATTAGAAGTATTGCAATGATCATCAATCGTCAAGTTTATATTAAGAAGCCATATCTCGGCATTACTATCTAGCTATCAGTAGCAAGCTATGACATCATAAAGCAATGGCATTGCAATGAAATCATGGTGTCTTCAAAGGACAAATGCTAATTCCATACAACACTATGAGCGCAACATTTCATTGCAACAATTAACTATTATGAAAACAGTGTAATTATGTATGTTTCTTTGGATAAAATAAATCAAATTGAAAAATATTCCTTAAAGTTAAAACTTTTCATTGCATTTGCTAGTTTCCGGAAAGTCTGCATCATGCATGTGCCCTAGATTAACATGTAATGACTTATAAATCTTACTATTGATGCCAATGAGAGTGAAAATGACATTGTCCTAATCCTCCTGCTAAGAATAAAACATGTGTAAGTAATGTCAGCCCACTGGCATCTTCTCATCATCACCCAATCATCAACCCACCTCTTTCCACTTATTTTAATTATAGCTTTTTGCTAGATGAAATTGGAAATTTCTTTCTGAGAAAAACTACACAAGATACACAAATGGTGAGTGTAACATGAGATCTACAGCTGACATTTTTTTTATGCGAACTGTTAGAAGAGTTTTGCAGCATGGTTAGGAAAGCTCATTCTTGATGTTATTGAATTAAAATATCAATTTACTTGTTTTTGGCTAAAGCATACACATCATGATGGTCATCATGAACATATTTAATATATTAATACTAACTCTATAAACAAAAACAGCAATGCGGATTACAACATCACAAATCATTAAGAGACACAGTGAAGAAAATCCTCCAGGAAACAGGAATGTCTATATTTGACTACATGTAACTGCAAATTAGTATGAAAATCACTTGAGAACAAATATTCAACACCTTATTTTATAAAAATCAATTAAACTTATTTCAGATGTTTCTGACATTAAGTAGACTAAATAGGTAGAATGTAAACACATCTTACACTAGATCTTCAGCATGTTGTTATCCTGACTTACAAAAAACAAATCCATTTAATATTACTATCACACTGTCATGAATACTACATCAGTCATATTCATTAACATTGCAAAAATTAATATAGAAAGAAATATATATATATATTGTGGGTGTATTCATACTCTGTGCATCACAATGAAACTATGTAAAGAGTTGCATTAACCAATCATTTTAGTATCTATCTAGTTAAACATACACATTGCTAAGTACTATTCTTGCCTAGATGTCTAATGCAGATATGAACCTATTCAATGAATCCTATAACGGGGAAAATGAACCTTACACAACTTGACCTCTACCTCATTGATCTTATTTCATCCAGGAACAAACAAAACACCTGAATTCAATCACCCCTCCTAGTATTTTGTAATTTTATGAATTTCTTCCCATTCTTTTAAACTGGCAAAGCCCTTCAATGTTAGAAAGAGGAAACAAAATTAATGCTCCTTTCATAAATACTTATTATTATTTGTGAAAGTCTGGTGAAATTAAATATAAAAAGAAACTGAAAAAGCTATTTGAAATTTGAACATAAAAAGGTACTAACCAATAATCCATGATTGTCAATGACCTCCACACTTAAAACCACCACTATTCCTCAGATCAAGTTTTTTTCTGTTTTGTACATTTTCTGAAACTAGATATTCTAAGTTCTCCAATTAAACAAAGTTTACTTTAGTAGAAGTCACATTTTATTCCACACCAAAACAGTCAATTGCAAATAGTCAGAAAATAAATCACTTTTGTCTCATTAGCAAATTATTAGTGGATTTGAGTCCACAAACAAATATTCACTCTAAATACAAGAATCAATTTGAGAGTCAAATATGGGCACAAATTAAAGTTTTGCAATCAAACACAATTTCATGAAAATTAATTAGTAAGTAAAGTACTGCCATCACACAATAACCTGTTTGTTTCCAGTCATGCCATTCCAATAAAAAATGTAAATGTGTATGACTTTCTTTTTAATCTGATGTGTACAAAGAGAATTTAATAAATCATTGGGAATTAATTGCATGATTATCAGCACACAATTTTCATTTTCAACTTTGATGTATGCTATTCTATAGGTGAAAGAAAGTGTTTTTTTAAATGAGAAGTGAAGCAAAATTATTTTCAGGGAATATCTTATCACCATAGAAACCCAATGCCGCTATGACCTCTAGGTATACCTCCATTACCCGCATGGAGAACCCTACAGCTCTATGCAAAAATTACAGCTTAAGGCAAAATCTCTCTTGTCTGTACGTGTTCCTTGCCAGTAGCAATCCATTAGCCATTTATCTCTTTTTCTTTCTTGCTTGCCATCATCTCCTCCACCATACCTTAGCCTCAAAGCAAACCCGTCATGGCCTTTTTTAATGAGGTGACTCCGCTCAACGCTTAGACGTGTACCAACCTAAAATGCTCTACTTTTAATTCCATAATGCTGTGAGTACATCCATATCCAGTAAAGCAGAAAATGGCATATATACACAACTAGAAAGGTTAAATGACTAAACAAGATAGCTTAAATGGACCTGAATTTGATGTTTATAAAATGAAATAGACCCAATACAATGATTAAACATGTACAAACAAAATAATAGCGTATTTATTTGCTTAATGATCATTCCACTTAATTAATTCCAATACATCTTGAATACTAATATTTCGAACAGAATCAATGTCTTATTGGAACAAACTAAATCACTCAACTCCCCAATCAAAACACATCACAAGTGAAAGAAGTGAAGGAGAGAGATTATTGGTTACATACCTCTGAGACTGCATCAGTGTTCGTCATATTGGGTAGATTCTCCTCCCAGATGACCTTCAGTTCCTCTAGGAAGGCTCCATAGTAAGGCACCACACAGCACCCTGGGATGTTCAGGGCTCTATCTACAGCTTCACGGTACTCTGTAGAGCTAGACTTGAGAGCAGAGTGAAGTGCTATAAGGCCTTGCATGTCACAATCCTTCATGTTCTCAAACACAGGCTTCAAAACCTCGGACCTGAAAGTATTCAGGGGAAAAAAGAGGAGAGATTGAAACTTATTCAAATGTATTTACTAACTCACCAGAACAAAGTAAATTTGAATGAAAGATGTGAGAAAGGAGTAATAAACTAATTAAATTAAACGTAAAGATACTCCTCACATTACAAGGTATTAAGCACATCCAAATACCTCTTGGAAATGATGGATTGAAATCCTTAATTATAAATGCAGATAAATAAAAGATAAAAACAAATACAAGGATAGACATAGGAATCCCTACAGACTGAGAAACAGAGATGGAGAGAGAGAGAGAGAGAGAGAGAGGGGGGGGGAGAGAGAGAAAGAGAGAAATAATATACCGTACCTGATTCCATCTAAGATTTCCATGACGGTATTGAAGTTTCCTAGATTCCAGCTAGAATTAGCTACTTGTATGAAGCTCAAGACATTCCTGACCTTGCCTTCCTGATCCTCTACACCCAGAATGGTGTCTCGGACCCAGTTACTCACCTACAAAACAAAAACATAATTAAATGCTAGTTAAGACACTTCTTATCCTCAAATTTAGAATAGTGTGTTGTTTAGTGTAGACTATCAAATAGAAATAAAACAACATAACACACAGCTTGATTTCTGATCATCTCTGTCTACTGAACCAGATACTCACCAGAACAAACACAAATCTAATTCAGTCTCACCATTATCAATCCTCTATCATATTCTCATTTTAAACAAATCTCTTCATCTTTTATCCTCTCTCATAGTTGTTTTAAAACCCAGCTGTCAGCTTATCCATCAATACAACAATATCATGTTAAATAATTTTTCATCCTGAACAATCTAGTCATTTGGAATCATCATTCTTCCTGTGGCAATGATGATTAAATGACTGCAAACAACCTTAATATTTATTCTCTTCCTCAAGAGACAAGAGAAGCTCGGTGGAAGGAGAGTCTTTCATTCTCTTTAAACTGTCTTAATTGATGAGATGCACATGGCATAGCCAGTGAACTGACAAACAATCTACTCTGATTGATAAAGGGAATTTGATTTGTGAGATGGGAAAATATATAATTTATAACAAGCTACAATCGCATCCCATTGTGGGTTCTAGTCTTGGACAGAATGTAATACAGTAATGTACATATACATGATCTTTAGCAATGACCATTTCACTGAATAAAAGTCCAACAAGTCTTGTGTACATGAATGCAAACTAAACAGTTATGTTATAACACTGATGCTTTATAGCAAATATTTCCTCTTCAATACATAGCCTGAGATGGTGCCTTCAGTAATTACTTTGGCTGTGATTTTTAGCATAATTTTATCAATCATGAAAATAATTCATAGATTATGATTTGTCCCTCATTAATTATTTTAAGACAAATTAGCCTGTAGCAAAAGAAGCTGAATATCACATGATAAAATGAAGACAGATACATGTGAATGTATATATTATCTTTTTCTTAAAAATGCTGAAGTCCTACTCTTTACCATTTCCCATAGCAAACTTGAAACCATACTATTTCACTACATTCATTCATTCATTCAGTGTTCACACTTATCCCATTTTCACATATAAACAAATGCACATCGCCTGGTCCATTTCACATAAAAACACATGCATGATGCTTGGTCAATATGGCCTGAAGCGAATCAGGGTTCTTGCCGAAATGTCATGACATTTGAGGGTGAAAAACTGCAGAAATTCAAGGAAAATCAAGTTGAATATGATAATTAACTACTGCAGCTGCATGCATGCATTATACTCTGTAAACTTGGATCCTCTTCCTCTCTCCATCTTTCTCTCTGTCTGTCTCTCACTCTCGCTTTCTCTCTCTCTCTCTCTCTCTCTGTCCCCCTTCTCTCTCTCTCTCTCTCTCTCTGTCCCCCTTTCTCTCTCTCTCTCTGTCCCCTCTCTCTCTCTCTCTCTCTCTCTCTCTCTCTCTCTCTCTCTCTCTCTCTCACTGCATCTGAATTATTCTGCTTTTGTACTTTATACTATGTAAATGAACTATTCTAATCTTATATATTAGGACAAAGCTACAGAGAATGATAGTCTGCTTGAAACTGTGCCACTGAACTAACCAAGACAAACACTCCCCTGTCTTGTGCCTACACTGCATATACAGCAAAAACAGAACAATTGATCTTTGACCATTCCTCTTATCACTTTCTGTTCCTCTTTGTAGTATTGTATTCCTTGCAGATTGTTCATGAACATACTACATACTAGCAATATCACATACTTTACTCCCTAGTGAACCACACATTAAACCTAGACATGCACTAAAATACATTAACCGTGATTAACATATTTTATGAGATTATTGCCATGATGAATCAAATGTAATAATTCAATCCAATTCAATTTTGAGTTAGATTCAGAAACATAACTGTAATTATTAAGTCATAGATTTAATGTTTGTACTGTTTAAAACATATACCTGAATTACTGGAATAAGTCCCATTCAATATACTTGAACTTTAACAAGAGCAATGCACAGCAGTACCTAGAAACTCCTCTTATAGGTACTAAAAGGTTATGCTTAGGCATAAAACATTTTCAAGGAAATTATGACACGTTTGGGCAGGCTTGCATCATACTTTGACAAGGGTGGTAAAATAAGACAGCATGTCAGACATGTAAATAGAGACATTGTCAAAAGAACAGCAAACACAAACTCACCTCATGAAACCTGATATCCAAGTCTCTTACAGACTTCCTGTGCTGCCCTGAATTGTCAGGTAATGGTAAGGTCATGTGACCAACATGTCGGACATAGCTGGCCGGAGGAACCTCGTTGAAGATCCTGAATTCTGTCTGTGTTAGGATGAGGGCAACTTCTTCAGGGAAGTTGAGAAGACGTCCGCATCGTGAAAGTTCTTCATGGTATATTGCACTTGGAGCAAGAAGAGACTTGGAGTCTAGGACTGGGGAATCGGAGTATGGCACACGATCTGTCAAGATATAACAAGCATGCATCCTTTAAGTCTCAATCTATGGGGTAGTACTAAATCAATACCCAGGACCAAAATCCAATTGAAACCAGTTGACATCTCCAACTGGTTTCAATTGGTTTCAACTGGTTTCAATTGGTGTCAATAGGAATACAAATTTTCCAGTTGAAACCAATTGCCTTAACTGGAAAAAAAAAATTGGACCGTGTGTCAATTCCAGTTCAAACCAATTGGAAATTGCGACTGGATCCAGTTAAATCTTGTATTTAACTGGTACCAGTTAGAAGTGCAACTGGAACCAGTAAGATAATTTTTCCAGTTACTCAATTGGTTCCAGTTAGAATTGCAACTGGAACCAGTAAGAATATTTCCAGTTACCTAAATTGGTTCCATTATGTTTTAACACATCTGTGATGAAGACTCATGAGTTTTATCCGAAGGATTCATTAGCAACAAATGGAATAATATAACAAATCATACGATGTACTTCTTTCCTTTCAGTCAAATGACGTTCACATGTACATGTAAGATGGATTTTGTTGTTGTAATGAATGACTGACCTAGACTTGGTGTGGAAGGTGCTGATGCAGTGACCACACCATCAGGGATGCTATCCGACACTGGGTTAGAAGATGAGGCTTCCTGCATATTAGCTGATAGTGCACCACAGATGGCCCTCAGCTCAGCTAATGACAGAGGCTGTATAGTCCAGTGAGGTTTACCCTATAATCAAACAAAATATCAATTGTAAAATCACTCTTCTTCTTCTTCTGTTGCAGCTGTAGGAAGAGATTGTGTTGAGAGAGCCAGAGCCAAACAAGAGGCATCATTTGACAAGATACAGTTTCTTGATGTGGAAAACTTTGTCAGCAAACAATCATTATGCATAAGATCTTGAATGGGTGACAGCTACTGCAAGGTGCACTGTCTTGTAAGTTCCACTTGTGAAGGTTGTATGAATGATGCACTGCACTGGAGATAAGTTTGGCCTTTGGATGGCCATGTAATGGTGTTCTCAAGTCTGGGGCATGACTGCCTTAAACAGCACTCAAAAGTATCGAAGAGATCTATTCCTATTTGTATCTAATAATACCCATTTACAATACCTGAATTTAGCAGGATTACAGTGACTTAAGTTATTATGAGTGAGTGGAAGGCATATTTCTACAATTTAAAACAAATTAAATTAATTTAACATAATGAATTACCAAGTAAAAGTAATAAAAGTCAGCTGAAAATGAAAATCTCTCCTTTATCTACAAATGTAAATGATAAACACCATGACTGAAGGAAAATGATTAATGGCGGAAATGCTTGTCACTGTATATCATTAATCCACAGACATTCAATCTCGGGATGTCAGAATATAAGTGACACTTGTTTAGACATCCAAAGATAGCTGAAGTAGGACATTCTAACCTTATTGCATCTTAATGTGTCACAGTTAAAGGTAATGCTCAGTATGAAAATAGAACATCTTCATTCTCGAGAAAACATTCATATAGAGTTATACAACACAACTGGGACTGTTGTGGAAGATGTGCTAAATTACAAGTACCTTACAAACATATTTAATTGTTCCACTGTGTGTCATTTATACTTAATATGCTCTTTATGTTCATAACTAAACAAAAACAAATGGTTGAGAACAGAGTGCATAAATGGTAAATTCATTGAAGAAAACTGATATTCAATTTGGTTTCAAACAAAAATATCGTTCATGTAAGATGCACAAAGAATAATTCACCAATTTTATGACACTAACCAAAACTGTGCATTTCATTAATATCCACTGCCCCTTGTCCATATTGAACCTCAAAATATGAAGTTTGTCTTAGATTAGGTCCTTCTTTACCAAAGAACACCTGATCAGCTGTCTTTCATTGGCTTATCCATCCATCTTATTTCTCCTTTCTCTTTATTCAGTTTCTCAATAATATCTTTACGATAAAGATATAACATTTTGGTTAATGTAAATAAGACTTCCAGATGGTTTGTATCACATTAAGATTTCAAAGATTTATCAAGTACATGCACACTGTAGATACTGTTCATATTACTGTGAGATTAAAAATACAAACTGGCAAAATAACTTTTACTACAATGGAATATATTCTCTTTGCAATTAATGATTTAAATATTACATTGCATTCAAATTCGTCACTAAGAACACCAGTATGAAGTACAGCCATTTCCAAATTAGCATTGAACAATACCATTTCCTACATTTGTATTAATACAAAAATACATAGTTTACATGTCCCTGAAGTAAGACTGTTTGGAATTCATGTGAACATCTGCATTTGATGGATTACGATATCTTCACAGTTCAATGTTCAAATGTACAGGTCATAGATTATAAATTAAATGAATTATAGAAAAGCTTTTAAAAATTGTTTTGCTTGTTTGGTCTTTTTAAGCAAACATGAAGATTTTATTACACAGGGGCAACACTTTAAATCCTTTCACCATTAACTGTGAGTTAGCCTTTAAATCATTGATATTTAGTGACTTTGGCAGCATTGTTCGCTATTGTGCAACTAAATAAAGGCAAAGCAAAAGAGCATTTAAGCAAATGAAACATAGTCTCTTTTTTATAGTTATTGTTTTTCCTACGGGTTTTATCCTCATATTTAACTAAATGGGGATTTAATATTAATCAAACTTTGGTGTTTATTCTAAACAAGCATACAGAGGAAACAACTAAATGTACACCTGCTTTAGTTAGGAAAATATTGAGATGGCTTCCATGTTTCTCACCTGAAATTCAACAACCAGAAGGCTACTCAGCGGACCACTGTGACATGCATCAATATGCCAGTTCTTCAGCTGGTCTGTTGGTGTAGACTGAACAACTGCCTTGGTCGCTGTACTCAGTAGTACTATGTGATGACGATTAATACACAAGATCCGATGAGCCTGAAAGAACAAAAATACAATTTTAATATTCTTTATAATTTCATGATTGAACTGTTATATATCAGTTACTTTAACTTCAAGGCCCTAAGTTTAACATACCCACTTCTGGTCTTGTATATAATACTGATCTACATCATACACTTCAACAGACTGTTCTTCATCTTCATTCACCTGCATTGTTGCTGACTCTCAGTATCAATACATTCCATCTCAATACATTAAATTCTTTCCAGACATGTTCATATTTGCATAAGAGAGATACTACAGCTTTTTTATGGAACTTCCTTCCTAGTTATCTCAACAACAGTCCGCCATAAAATGTGAAAGAATCATACCAAATGATCGCCCTAATCAAACTGAGTTGCTACAGTTACAAGACCAGCAAAACATTCCCTAAATTACCCTGCGCCCTTGTCTTTAACGAATCAACAAATATACATAAAAGTTTAGCTGTAGCTACATAGATTTGGATTTCAAAACAAGATACACAGGTCAAACCAATTATACTGGACTCAATGAGGCAGAAATAGATTTGTATTCATTCTATTCCTTCATTCATGACATACAGGCTTATTAAAATAGTGGGTATATGTCCGGCTTCACTGCATTGCTTTACAACTCTATCATCAATTCCAATGACTCCATCCTGTCATAAAGGAGAGATGGAATGTGTAAATATGTCAACCATGAAATACACCGGATTAAGCCCCCAGATAGCAGCATGTAAACCTCAAGTGCAATAAAAACTTTCTTAAAGTTGCAGTGGATGGTTGAAATGTCATCTGGAAGATTGTATATCACAGACCGTACGACAAAATTTACAAAAATCATTATTGATTATCATTAAATGACATATAATGCTTTATTTCCTCTGTTTAATACCAATGGTAATGTTTGAGTTTTCTTACCTTTGACGACCCTAAGTAAGAAATCAAAAGATTAAGTCAACATCAAATAAAGCTTATCAATGATCAGTACACACATGCAGGACACCAATCTGGTTTATTTATTTATTGTCCTTGATGTTACACTGAAATGAAAACTGTCTGTCTGTAATAGGGGTACCAGCATACAAATGCAGACTGAAGTATTTTTAATAAATTTCCACATTTCAAAATGTCATGGTTGTCTTTATTGTCAAATCAGCTTAGAGGCACAGAAGTGATTCAATTAATAACTGGTAATAATTGTATGCTTCACTTTCAAACATGATAATTTTACTCTCTTCTCTTCTCTTCCCTTCTCTTCTCTTCTCTTCTCTCTCTCTCTCTCTCTCTCTCTCTCTCTCTCTCTCTCTCTCTCTCTCTCTCCTCTCTCTCTCCTCTCTCTCCTCTCTCTCTCTCTCTCTCTCTCCTCTCTCTCTCCTCTCTCTCCTCTCTCTCCTACCATATTATCTGTGTTATAGTGTATCCGTATGTTCTCTTTCTATTTCTATGTTTTTTTATCATTTTCTGCTCGTCTCTTCTTCCTTCAATTACATTCTACTTCATTGTACCCAAGCATGCCTCTTGGCTATTTCTCTATCTATCAACTAGACTGCACCTGGAACAATTTGGCACAAATTAGACAGGTGAGACTGCTTGTCATTGCCCAGCCCATGGGATTCAATCCACAGTGTATTCCTCTAGCATCATAAGAATAACATTCAATCTAGTCAACTCTCTCAGCTCAGCTGCATACACTGACTGCTTGATTTCAGGGCACTCTCTTATTCAACAAATATATTACACTTGATTACAAAGCATAATACATGATAAGCCATGGTCACTTTCTCTTTAAATGTAAAGACCAGTAATGGAAACGCCCCAATTTCAAAAAATGAAATGGAAGCTCTTATTACCAATCATGTGAAAGAGTATGTTTTGACTAATACATGATGATAAAAAATTTGCCGGAAAACCGCCTACTAATTGATATATTTGGTAAATTAGTTTATCTATTGGTGTGTGAGAGATAAACGCACGTGTGCGTAGTCCCATATACATCTTTCTGTGTACAGTGCTTGTAACTTTAGGAAGACTGGGCCAAATTTCTTATTCTTTTGATGATTCCAGAACCTTGCAGTACACACCAATACTTATATGCTAGATGATCAACCTTTTCTGATCGATTCCACAACGTTTCTTTCAAAATGCAATTGCATGACCATAACTGGTCTTTATCTTTAAAGGTATTACAAAGTTTTTGGAAATTTTGAAAAATGGGTGGATAGTGATTCTTTACAATTTTAATATATTTGGATGCCCCTGTGGATGTTTTAAAAACATCACAAATTTTAGCCCCTAAAACACTTCTATTTTCGAGACAAATTCAATATAAAGATTTACCGGTGCTCCCGGTAAATTTTGATGAATATCAAATAGCTCCGACGGCCGTTCAATGGTAGCTGCGACCATGAAAATCTCAGAGTATGTAGTTGTGGTATATAATTTCCGAACGAGAATAGCTAATCAGTCAATTTTAGTCAATAAACATTGTTTTATAGCTTAACTAATATATTGACCTTGAGAGGGAGCTATTCAACATAAAGTGTTTATTATTTACAATTTCATAACTTTAGAGTCGATTTCGACCGCGACAACGATCACTGAATATTGTAGGATCGTATATGCTTCCAATATGTTCATTTGAACCAGATTCTACCAAAACTTTGTATTACCTTTAAACTTTAACCTTTGTCAATTCAATCTATGATTCATAACAATAAAGACCCCAGTGATTCATGTATATACAAATAATCCGAGGTAGATAGTGACATAGTGATAGAGCTCTCTAGAGCAACATCAGGTTATAGACTACTTAAACTGATTTGAGTTTAGTTAACTTCTACAGCATCACAAAGGTTGCAAACATGAACAAGAAATAACATTCTGTTTTCACTATACAGTGCTTGGTTCATTGTTTATATTGATACAAACATTATCTTATAATATCTAACGTCATAATCTAAGACCCACCTTGAATTCTCCTCTTTAAAAAAAAACCTTTTTGGTCCCGAAAATTATCATTTGAATAATTTAAATCATGTATTGTACTGAAAGGGCCAATCATTTATTTCTTACTTTGTAATGAATGTAACAACATTGGCTTCAGCTTGGCTAGCATTTCTCCACTTCTCAAATTCTCATCCCATTTACTACCCCCTGCATACAGAGAGGCTATTGTATATAAATGCATTGTCTATCACATGAGTAAAGTGAGCTTTGATTGTGATCTCTGCATCTTCCTTTTATTCAAAATTATTTTTTACCAATCTACCAATCCCACTCGATCTTAGAATTTTTAGAGCGCCAATATCTAATTTTCTAATCAGAGGCACTGATGGAACTGGAAAAACAAGTGAATATGTTGCCTATGATTCACCTACTGATCATCCTAATAACCTAAGATCTATAGATACAACAGTGGTGTTTATCTATGGAGAGTTCTCCATCACTATTTACATGTTTTTCTTTCAATTCAGAAAAATATCACAAACAGCACACCCACATTTGGATTGCTGCATGCCAATAAATATTGACTGATTGAAAATGATTTACAACCTACAACTGTAGCTTCAACACCCATTCTTTTCTTTCCAGTATATCCTAAATTGACCTATAAAGTACTTAGTGGTTCTTGTACATTCTCTATATATATACAATGCCATTATCTCTTAGTCAAAATAGATTATTTTTATTTTGCTATAGAATACCTCAACCGGTTACGCTTTTAGGTGTGCTGCCATGCAAAACATATGTCCTTGTTGAAAGTGCAATTTATATGACTGAATCACAGTTATCAATACAGAATATTCTAAACTCTGAAAAGGCTATTGTGTTGAATTAAACACAAGATCATTATTCTCCAATTACTCTCAAATCTCTCTGGTATATGCCTAGAAGATTATACTTCTTTTAGGTGGATTTCCTGAATATATTCTTTTTGAAAATCTCTTAGTGTGAAGTAACATCTTGTCTACCTCATAGGTTGATGTAATTGACCCGAGATTTGATCAAAGTGCTTACCTAAAGACATGGATGGGTGAAGAAAAATGCAGTGTATGAAACACGATGATCAACTCTCCACTTCAAAGAATAAGAAACAGCAATATAAAGGAAGAGATTCAGAGAGAGAGAGAGATGGGAGAGAGATCAAAAACAAGAGCACAGTCCTGAAGCGAGTATAGTAGCTGTAGAGGGTAAGGCATATTTGCTTAACCAAAACACTTTCCATTTATGATTTGAACTAAAATATACTTTTAGAAGATAGTACAGGATATAAGCAGAAAATCAAATCCGAACGACAAGCTCTTCTTCCATTCGGAACCAAACACTTCAACCAGTCTCTAATACAGTGGACAATACTTGAATCAAGATGATAAACATTGAGAACTATTTACTTTCCAAATATCAAGGAATGTCAATAGAAAGATAAGGGGACAGGGATTCTAACTCGTCAAAGAAGGCTCCATTCACATAGAAAAAAAAACTGTTTTCAAAGAATTTCTCTACAAAAACCATTCCCACTCATATGATCACAAAATATGCTGACCATCATTATCTATTTCTTTTACAAAGTTGTCAACAAAAACTCAACCTAAATATATTTGAGCTATAGGGTTTCTATGGAGTTTATAAAAAATGATAAAATGCCAAAAGATATTGTGAATAGTCTTATTGTTGAGGGGCATTTAAACTGAAAAACAGGCAATATATGATTTCTGTCATGTAGATGCAGAGCCTGATATAAGAGGTCACACTTTAAAGGCAAGAACTATTCAGGCATAACACCCCCCCCCCCCCCCCAAGTCCTTGTCATCTTCTCGATCATACTCAGTGCTGTTGTGTAGTAGTGTAAACCACTGCAAAAAACCCTAGAATGAAACAAATATGTACGGTAAGTAGGAATCTAAAGAGAGAAATAATGCTGAACTGAATGAGTAAAGACTAGAAAGCATGGTCTGATAACAAAATAAGAACGCTTCAATATTACTCATATAACTCTCTTGAGGTTAAGAG